TCTACTCACAGTTGTACACACTATCTACTCATGGTTGTATTATCAACTCACAGTTTCACTTTCTACTCACAGTTGTACACACTATCTACTCATGGTTGTATTATCAAATCATGGTTTCACTTTCTACTCACAGTTGTACACACTATCTACTCATGGTTGTATTATCAACTCACGGTCTCACTTTCTACTCACAGTTGTACACACTATCTACTCATGGTTGTATTATCAAATCATGGTTTCACTTTCTTCTCAAAGTTGTACACACTATCTACTCATGGTTGCATTATCAACTCATGGTCTCACTTTCTACTCACAGTTGTACAAACTATCTACTCATGGTTGTATTATCAAATCATGGTTTCACTTTCTACTCACAGTTGTACACACTATCTACTCATGGTTGTATTATCAAATCATGGTTTCACTTTCTACTCACAGTTGTACACACTATCTACTCATGGTTGTACTCCTCACAGTGGCAAGGATATCCTTACATTTACACTACTCACCGATGCACTGTTTTCCATCAGTGGTAATGATATAGCCAGGTTTACATTCACAGTTGTAAGAACCCTGCGTGTTGATACATCTTCCATTCTCACAGGCACCTCGTACTGTACTGCACTCATTGATATCTACAATAAGCTATATATGATGCAACTTTGCACTTTACGTACAAACACAAAATAAAAAACAGCAAACTGAAAGAAAGAATTCAGAAAATGAATTAATAACATTAACCAGCTTCTTTGTTGGTTTAAAATAGATTTTTATATGACAAGTTCTTTTATATACAGATTTTATATACAGCTTCCTCTCTATATGCTTATTATTTCCAGCATTTTGAGAAAACGCAAAAACTGAAGTAATTATAAAGCTGTCCTTCACCCATCCCTCCCTCCATAACTAATAACTGACTGGAACTTACCAATACATTCATCTCTCATGCCCACCTTCCTAAAGCCAGCAGGGCAGATACACATGTACGTTCCAACAAGATTTTTACATGCATAGCGACAGTCATTGGCAGTTGTACTACACTCATCTTCATCTGGAAACAATCATTTAAAATGTGTAGGATTATCAAAATATTATTACATGTACTCATAAATTGTCAATCATGGTTTGAAACACTTTGATAATTGACTTGTTTCAGGACAGTTCTTGATGTAAAAATTGAACTCAATGCAGTGCAACTAATATGTAGGAATTATATAATTTCAATTCTAATGACGACACACAACATCTAGAAGATCATGATCCTGTAGGTGTGACTTACCTTCGCAATGTCTGCCATCTGGTGACAGAGTGTATCCTCTTGGACAAATACAACGGAATGATCCAGGGACATTTTGACAGCGGAATGCGCAAGTGTTTACCTCCTCATAACACTCGTTAACATCTGTAACATAAAGGTGAATTGCAGACAAATACTAATACTGTATGACCAGGAGTAGGTCATTGTAACAGCAACACTAAACATCTTCTAAGTGTCAGACAACACTGATCAAAATCATACCTCAAAGTGGCCACCATAGATGGGAGCAGTTTCAAATGTGAAATACATCAAGATTCCTAATATATCTTTTACAACTGCTCTGTAGAGAAGAGAATATGTCAATTTGGGGTTTGACACATTCTCTATAAAGAGTAGTTGTAAAAGGTTTGAAAACTTTAATTGACTAAAGGCCTTCTATGAAGTGTATACTATAGATACCTTCATAAACCTTTACAAATCTTAACAGGTTGATTGTAACTGGTTCCAGGAGCATTTCTGTGTGATTTTACACCAATTACAATTGTAGTTACCTTCACAAACTCCATTATGGTCGGGCAGGAAACCATGAGAACATTCGCAACTGAAACCTCCTATGGTGTTGGTGCATGTGCCATTTCCACAATGTTGATAACTCTCTGCACACTCATTCCTATCTGTAAACAATTTAAGTAAACATAAATATATTACATAAAGAAAACAAGTCAATGCACAAATAGTCTTCTATGTGTTCATCTGGCTGGCAAATACTATCAAAATATACCATTCTATCCATGTCTGATGTCATACGTTTCAAGTTTTTGTATCAAAATGTCCACCACATGCTTTTTTCTCGTTATGACAAATATTTCTTTCTTATAACACACATAAACTGAAACTGGCACAATTTCTTATATATTTCTAAAAACTTTAATTTCTTATGACATATGCATTGTATTTCTTATTCATTATAACAAATATAGACAAAAATTATTATTACTTATTAGTATTTAGAATGACATAAATCCAAATTCATAAAGCATATAATTACTTACCAACACATTTCTTGGTTATTGGGTCTTCCCTGTAACCATGGTTACAGCGGCACCTATAAGAGCCATCAGTATTCACACAAACCCCATTCTCACACATCTCCATCCCAAACATACTGCACTCATCAATATCTGAAAGAAAGTAAACACTGATTAACATATTAATATACCATTGAACTAAATGTACAAAAAACATACTAGATATAGTAATGTGTAATATGCTGTAACGTGTGATCTGTTGGCCCCTAACCTGTTTTAATTTCAGACTTAGGGTCAGTCACTCTTCCTACACCATCAGGGCATAGATTATCAAAGCTCTCAGTGCCTTTCTCGGGACAAACCTCACAAGGTTCGCCACCCCATCCAGCTCCCATGGCACAACAGCATTCTGTTTTTGTCACATTGTTTGGCATTGGGTCCAGACATCGACCAACGACGAACCTCTGGTAGCAATTACCTGTTCGGAGATCTGAAAGAAATTATGTTTTATGTTATGTTTTAAATCCATAAAGAATCCATTATTATTTGTACTAATTCACAATTACAAATAAAAGGGGTGCCATTGCAATATTTCTACAGATTAAACAAGAACTTACAAGATTTTGGAAATTCTCAACATATGGAAAGAAAATATCCCTTTAACTGAGGTGAATTTTATTCACACTGACTGTGTAATGCATGATGGTCGACTAAAGGTTCAAAATATTAAATCATAATTTCCAAACTTAAAAAGTAATACCACAATCTTACCCATGCATTTTCTGCCATCTATTGAGAGGCCAAAGCCAGGAGGACATGTACACCTGAAGCTACCCTCAGAGTTTGCACAAGTCCCATGTTCACAGATCCCAGCAATGGTATTACATTCATTGATATCTGGAAGCATTTATAAATCAAATAATTCATAAAAAATAATATCTATCAAAGCTTCTAATTACTGTTTATATTGACATCATATTCCAATCACGTTATAAACAAGGCATAACAAGCAAAATGTTACCACTTCCCATTTGTTATAGACACCAAACACCAAACGCCAACTGCTACGATGTATTTCACGTTATATTATTGATGCATCGATTGTTGAGAGAAAATCATATATTTTATTTATTTCTGTAAATTTTCCTTGAATCACCATATTATCTTTATTTCCATTAATCAAACATAAAAAAAAGAAATACAAACATGCACAACATGTCCCAACTTATGGGTGATGCTATATAGATTTTTCATCCCCAATGACCAACACTAATCAGTTGAATGGCTGCCTTAAAGTTTACCCAGAATGCCCAAAAACTAATCAGCACAAAATGTTCATACATATCAACATACCAACACATGTTCGGCTATCTTCATGTAATTTGTAGCCCTCAGAGCAGGTACACTTGAAGGAGCCCTCCAGGTTGTTACAGACTCCATTCTCACAGATGCCAGCAAGATCTCTACATTCATTCACATCTAAAATACAAAACACATAATTATGTTTTCAGCAAAATTTGAGCATAATTATGTTTTCAGATAAATAAGATTGTGCTGAACAAAAAATATACAATGTGAGATCAATAGACAAGATGCGAGTAGAAAAAATCTTAATTTACATCATTTAATATTCAAAATTCAGTCAAATTGATGTCCTATTTAAAATCTACATGTAAAAGTACATCTAGAAATGTGGTTTTAAAAATTGTTTATCAACTTTTAAAATTTGATTTTTTGAAAATGTGACTTCTAGTTCAGGGATATTCCCTATAGACCCCATGTTATAAAATCACAAAAAGTGAAATATCTTCTTGTATTGGTTAGAAAACATTCTTTAACTGGACAAAATTTAATTTGTATAACTATTATATACATAAGGGTGATATGAAAATTGAACCACTAAAACATATAAATATTTCAGTTAAAGGGAATTTTCTACTATACTCGGGATGCTATCTGATACAAATGAGCCACCTGGCAGTGAAACTGATACTCGCATCTGAGTTATTCAGAATTGATATGATGCTAACCTTCGCAATACTGATCTCTTTCATTGTACTGATATCCTGGCTGACAGATACACCTAAAGCCTCCAAGTGTGTTCTTACAACGTCCATTCAAACAGATCCTTGGCAGCTCCAAGCACTCATCAATATCTGCAAGTAAATGTAGTTGCCATTTTATATTACATGTTTATCTAACATAACTGTTTAAGACCATTTGTAATATGAGAAATATCTGGAGTAATTTTGATCAGTGGTGGTACGATAAATCACAAACTCGAATAATCATTTGTTTGGATTAAAAAGTTGAAAATTGATTTTTGTTTTCAACTCTGTATGGTTCAGCCTCAGTTTGTTTTCAGCACTTTGTAGAATTTTGGGCATTTTGGAGCATTATAATGCATTGAATGATAAGTTTTAGAATCTTATTTCTTTTGAAATATTCAAATTTATTTGATTAATCATCGTCAAATTGCTCCCTATAATCGAGTCTGAAATAAAAAACGCATTGTATTTTTCAGTATCAACATTTTTTGGAACAAGACACAGTGCTAAATATCACACTTTTAAGAGCCAAATGGCTGCCATGGAACTTATCCAACATGCCCAAAACCTAATGAGATCCTGGCACTAGCCTGCTTTTGCATCAAGAAATATTTCATGTTCCAAATAAGCATTTTCCGGGAATTTTGATGCCAAGATTTATGTGGCATCCACACTTACACAAGCCAACACAATCACCCTGCCACACAAAAAAAAATATAGCAAATTTCCCTGAAATACTGAAATATACTTTTTCAATCTTAACTAGTTAGAATTGGCCCTTTAATCCTCCTACAAAAATCCCAGCAAACCAATACAATTATCATAAATATCGGAAAGTTTTACCAAGTGATTCTGTTCAGTCGACCATGAAAGAGTCCATATCATCACTCCCATATTACTGTCTCAGTTGGTAATTCACAAATTTCTATGACTATTAAGCTGCTCATTGGAAAATGAATTCTTTTCATCACGTGAAAAGTTATGATTTTGTTGATGAATAAATATACTTTAACAGAAACACGACAAGGGGTGAATATTGAATAAGCTTGAACCCTTCCAGAGCATAGACAGTTCTCTAAAATGGCTGGCTTAACATTTACAAAGGATGCCAAAAAGCTAATCAATTTCAAATTTTCATTCAAAGAACATCCTTTAAAACTTAAGATCAATCCATTAACAGTTTGGCTTGAAAAATGTAAGCATTAGACTTTAAAGACAAGATTTTAGGAAGAAATATCCAAAATGACTGCCTTTACTTTTGACAAAATGTCACCACCTAGTTGCTCACAATATTATAAGTTCAATCTTAAGTCAGATTCGAATTTCTCAGAACTTGTACGTGATTTTGAAAAAAACATTTGGTCAATTTGAAAATTACATTTTTTACCCTGAGAAGGTCATTGAAGGTGAAATCTCAAACGTAAAGTCAGATTTGAACTTTTGAGAACTTTTAGATGATTTTGAAAAAAGTAGGTCAGTTTGAAGCAAGTTGAAAACCAAGGGTTTGATAACAATACTAGATCACTTACCAACACATTCATTGTTTTCTGTGACAGTAAAACCAAAGTTGCATTCACATCTGAAGTTCCCAATTGTATTCCTACATGTTCCGTTGCCACAGATACCAGGCTGGGCAAAACACTCATCAATATCTGAAAAGAGGATAAAATGTTTGTTTCAGTTGTCCACTAGCATGTTGCAAATGGATGGAGGGGTTCATTATATCCCTACAGAACTGTTCAGAGGGATAATAAAGATCATCAAATTCAAGGCATATCAATTTTCAAGACACGTTTATCTGGATTATGCCTTGGTCACATTTGCTCCGATTTTCACTTCAGCGCCCGGACGATTGAGTATTTTGTTCAAAATTGAATATAATATTGAACAAAACACTCAATTGGGCCGATGGATCAGAGCAAATGTGACCCAGGCATTAGAGAGAGATAGTCATAAAATACATGATTGCAAATTTTTTGAAAAAAAAGTTGTTAGCATTTCATTCTCAAATATTCAAATTTCCCGCCATTTTTCAAAAAAAGTTGAAATTTCTTAATCATCAAATATTTCTTAATGCATTTCAAAAAAGATTATCTTTTTATCACCAATGCAAAGATTGAACAAAAGACACACTATTTCAATAATAAAATGTCATATTTAATAGGCTACTTCAATGTTTTAGCTTATTAAAAATATTTTGAAACATTAGTGATGTCACTAAGGTAACAAAAACTTTTTGAAAAAAATTGAATTTTTTTTTTCGATGTCAATCTTTTCTAAATATGCTAGACTTTCATAAAAAACCAATGTTGATTGTCTAACCAGGTTAAAAGGAAGAATAAATTATGTTTTAGATATCATTGTACCATTGGTTTCTATGAGAACTAAAATTTTTGAAATGCATTTTTCTCAGAACCATTTTCATGCACTGATAAGTTCATTTCTCGCTTGTTTATCAACCGATTTTCTTATTTTTTTCGGCAAAAAACATGGGAGGATGAATGCTATGCATTGGTATGAATTGTGGCTAATTAGAAGATATGAGTGACCTCTAAAAGTTAGTTTTAAATAAATTAACAAATTTTGGAACAAAAAGTCTATCAAAAACCACTTTTTGAAATTAAAAAAAAAAGTTTCACATATCACACTTTGATAACATTGGGTAAGACTACAATATAAGCCAAAGTGGTTTAAACTTTACATGGGGCCTTTAATTGGTTAGAATAGGGGTTCTTTCAAAGCTTTTGGTTACTCCTAAAGAATGATATTATAAAGGATAAGACTGACCTATACATTCAGTTCCATCTTGTGAGACCTTGTAGCCATTTTCGCAAATACACTGGAAGCTTCCCTCTAAATTCTTACACCTTCCATTCCTACACATCCTTCCTCTCCTGTCTGAACACTCATCAATATCTGAAACAAAAATCTTAATATACATCTATGTACATGACAGGACATCTTCCAATGAAGGCATTAACATGACAAAATGTCAGATTTGTCAAAGCAAGTAAATTATTGCAAATGGCTACAAAAGTTTATTACATACACCAGTCACAAAGTAAGTCACAAAAAAACGAGAGAAGGGTCGGTTCAGTTCAGATCGGTTAACTGCGGTTTTTGGCCCCACGGTTTTACTCGGACCATCTATATAATTTCAATTTTCAAGAAACACATCTAACATGAGGAAACATATGAAAGGTATTACCCAACCAGACCCACTTTAAAAAGGAATCCCTCCCATCTAGTATGGGGCAAGCAACTTTGATAGACAGCAACAAATAATTCAATTCTAGATGTCCAATACAAAATAAAAGTGAAACCCCTTTAAACGCTATATTTCTGGCATCAATTGCTATTTATGAGGCCCTCCATGTTAAGATTGAACAACCGAACTGAACCGAGAAAAAACTCTACAAAAACAGTAGCTATAACAATATTACCACTTGAAAATGAAAAAGGCATTAATAAGTATTTATTATTATTCTAATAAGCCATTCATTTGTAATTTTTCAAATACTTTTTCAGATTTAAAACTGAAATCAAAGTACTCGACTCTGAGCCTACTTACCTACACATCTAACCTCCCCCTGAAGTTCATATCCTTCGGGACATTTACAGTGAAATTTTCCTGGCTCATTAACACACTCAGCCTCACCCTCACATGGCGGTGAAAAGTCACGACATTCATCAACATCTAGAACCAAACAGAATACAATATACTGAGAATTTGTAAACAATTCTTGTACTCATACATCAAGAACAATACAACAGAGTACACTTTGTAAACAAATCGCATACTTAGTACATCTGGAATAAAAACTAGAATGCCCTTAAAATTTGAAAACAATTCTAATACTAAATACATATTTCTGTTTCATTAGAATAACTGAGAAGAAAAATTGAAATAACAAAAAATTATTGAAACGATATGTATATAATATACAGTGTATATACAATGTATAAGCCATCATAGGATTTTTAAAATGCAGCAAAATAACATAAACCTCCAAACCTTACCTTGTATTGCTACAACTTATTTTATTACTTACAGATTCCTTTCCTTTTCACTTCTATTTTGGATTCTGATATTAACATGCCTCATCAATAAATGACAAAAATACCATTGTACAGTTTTCTGATTTGAAGCAAAAAACTATGGTGCAGGTTTTAAAAAATTTATCAGAGGGAAATGTATAGAATTCTATGTGTAATTTCATGTGTATTGTCTTGGAAGGACTTTTTAACTTTCTAATTATGATAAGAAATTCCCAAGAACTGCTAGAGTTTTTTCAGAGTTAGTCTTCCCGCATAATTGACAGAATAGAAAATATTGTTTTTTCTTACATTTCGTTTGATAATTATTTTCCCAGTCATCCAAAGTATGGATTATTTTTATGAGAATATGTTTCTCCAAACAAAACATTTAAGGATATAATTTAAAGAGATCAGAACTGTATGTTGAAAGCTGCTCAAGAATGATACAATATGTCACCTTGGGTGGTCACATGAAAAAACAAGAATATTTCTCACCATGCTTTCCCCATTGAAAAAATGGTGATCCAAAATGGTGGGAAACAACAATGTAAAGACAAACTGTACAACGCTATTTTTTGTCATTGTACGCTGTCAATGGTAAAGCGTGCATGATATACTCTCATTGCAACTTTCTCTACATACCTTCACATTTATGGGAGGAAGGGCTGTACTGGTATCCTAGGGGGCAGTTACATCTGAAACTACCTGCCGTGTTCACACAAACACCATTCTCACAAATAGTGGGGAACCTTGTACACTCATCAATGTCTGTAAAAGAATATGTTCACATTTGTAACAACATGTCAAATTCTGCAGCATTCTACATCAATATCTGAATCAAATTGTGAAATAATAATATAAAACTACTAGTTAAAGGAAATGGGTTAACCCATTAAATTACATATGTACAGTATTTGTATTGTATGTACAGTACAAAATGAAGAAATTCATGAAAAATGATGTCCATAATGTCTGACTCAACAAGTAAATTTCATAATACCTGTAGCTCTAAATAGTTACCATGCATAATCAACCAATCATCAGAAATGTACAGAAATGTTGAAACCATATACTACCTAATCTTTATGACATTTGGCTCATATCTGCTCTTTTATATAGGAAATGTGAGTGTCCCATTTTTTGCCAACGATGTGTAATTACAAATCAGCATATAAGAGACTTACATGTTATTCAAAGTATCACTTGTTAAATCAAAAATAAAGTGCCATCAAATTAGTACTTTAAGTTAAAATCTAAGGATATTAAAAGAATATAAATGGGAACTTATTGCTTGAACTTTTTAAAATATTAGGCAAGGCAAATGGGGACAAATTAAATGATTAAAAAGTGTTATGCTTGTACTGGTAAAAGATAAAATAGTGTAAAAAGGACAATGAAAAGACAAAATAACTACATGTTTAATATTTTGTTGTAATGTTCTGTATTTGTCGTATTATTTGTAGCTCTTTGTATATGTTGTGAAATTTAGTACTCTCTAGTATATGTTGTAATATCAGTTATCACACGTTTCAGTGATACGGTGATACTTTTTTACTAAGTGGAATATTTCCCGTATCATATATGCTGAAACGTGTGATGACGATTTTATCACATACTATGTAAAATATAAATGATTTGACTGGTAGCTTTCTTTGACATTTTAACTTCTATTTCCTCAAATGACGAATTTTGATATTATGATAGCACAGCCTATATGTGACCAGTTGTATGTGACATCATTTTGAATCAAGGAAATAACAGATTATAGTTGAATGAGACATCATTTCATTACCATAGACAACGCGTGGTAAGTGTGCTCGTATCATATGAAATTCATGTGATAAGGGATGTGACATAAAGAGCAACCAATCAAATCACTAGAATTCTACATAGTATGTGATAAAATGTTGTACTGTGCAATATATGTTGCAAAATATTGTACTTAACAGTACAGTACAGTAGAAAACAGATTGTAAAATGTTGAAATTATGTTATAGATGATCTAAACTGTAATGTTGTCCTATATAATGTGTTCTAAAATGAAGTACAGTTAAACCTGTGTATATTGAACATTTTTTGCAGAGAAAAAATTTTGCAGATGAAAAATGTTCAGTGTTGATAGGTGGTTCATTACAGAGAGGGTAATTTATACAGAAGTCAGTAGAGATGTGTGGAGGAAGGGTGTCTACTAAAGACAGGTGTTCACTAGAGAGTGGTGTTGGTAGGCCTGTTGCAAAATGCACTGAGCAGTAAAGGTTGTAAAATGTTGTACAATATACAATCGTAGACCTCAACTACAATCGTAGCGGTTTGACCAAATAGAGAGGTTAATTGTTTTGTTAGTCTGAAAATCCCATGGTTGCAAGGATATACATTGAATTTCACATGAAGTTATATTTGGTATGTAGATGAAGATATCATATTTTAGCAAATATCACTTCTAAAAAAGTGACATTAGATAGTTTGAAAAGTTTTCTAAAGCTATTCTGCAAAATGACCTCTGGTCTCTGTCAACAGTAGTTTCTCGGTTTACCATCTCGGATTACAATTTTGCCGTTTTACCTCTGGAGAGGTCAACAATTGTATACTGTAAATGTTGAACTGTACAGTATATGTTACAAATTGTTGTATTGTACAGTATGTGTTGTAAATGTTGTACCGTACATTATGTGTTGTAAATTGTAGTACTGTACAGTATGTTACAAAATGTTGAACTGTATGTGTTTTAAATGTTGTAGTGTACAATAGGTGCTGTAAATGTTGTACTGTACAGTATGTGCTGTAAATGTACTGTATAGTACATTTTGTAAAATATAATACTGTGTATTATTGACGAAAAAGTGACAAAAAATAATGAAAATTCACTTATAATATTCCTTACCATCAATGCCCCCATATATGGGATCAACTATTTCTCCTGGTCTCCCTCCACAGAGCTCTGCATATGCCGCTAAACAAAGCATTAGTCAGGGTAAGCATCAAAATTAAATAGTTATTTTCTTGATCTACATATTATATGTATTTGGTCTCCAAATATCACTACCTCTTTCATTAATTTGTTAAATGTGGTGCTACAATAACCCAAGCATACAGACACAAAGAGAACAAAATGTTTGCATTGAGAATTTTGATTTTTTAAATAATCATTGTCTAGAGATCTGACACATAAAATAAGACTGAAATATGACATGTATATCAGATAATACGCATACCAGGCAATAATGGACCTGCAGTCAGTTAAACATAAACAAAGTGCCTCCAATATACTGTTGAGCACAAATTCACTAAACATGACTTGTGTGAAGGGAGGTGTATGTACATTTATGATACTCTCAACCATTCTTGGGATAAAATGCCCTGTGAAAAGAAATTCTCTCTCAAATGTTATTTTGTATGCTTGGGAAAAAAAGATTAATAAATACTTAGTAAACCATTAATAATTATCTAATCAAAAGCATTATTCATGGGTGTATTTGATCAATCCCAAATTTTAAGATAAATTGCATGATGGGATTGAGCATATATCTCCTCTGCTATTGGGATATATTTAGTCCATCTGTGTAAGTATAGGTCCTACAATTGAAAGTATGTCAGTCATTTTACAATACAAAGTCACAAACTATCCTACTTCCATACACAGCTCTTGTAACAAATATCAAACACTTCACAGTTTTACAAAAAAATTCACATGGTAACAACTGCTTTGATAGTTCTATTAGAAGAGCTTGCAGATAGTGAAAACAGTTTGTAGCCTCTTTGGAGTAACTCCTTGGTAGCAAACATAGACTAAAATATTCTAAAATTCTACGCAATTAGTTTCTTGTTGAAGCCATCTAAAGAGAAGGGAGATATAGATATTGTCCACATGTTATCTAACCCCGGGGGCAGATATGGATCCCATCTACCTGTTATCCACCCCTATGTGACCTACCAGGTTCTTCCTTGTCCAATATGTCCTCACATAAGTCCACATATTCCTCTACAAATCAACTTACACATTGAAGTTAAATATATACATCGAGATTATATACAATATATGATCAAATTTAACAAATAGAATGGCCACTGATTTTTAACTGGTACGTGTAGGTCTCACTTAGGCAATCTTATTAAAGTCACTTTCTCATTTGAAATAAGTACTGTACCATATTTACTGTGTGTTTAAAAATCAAACTTACACTGTACTAATTAAACAATAGTATATTTACTATAATTGTCAAAATTACCTTAGTTTAGTTAGGTTTAAGAATAATTAAAAGGAAGCTTACTTGTGAAAGGCTCTGGGCAGGATTCGCATGGGTCACCCCAGCCCTGCCCCACACTACAACAACAGATCTTTTTAGTAAGATCATTTGCAAGAGAATTGTCGCAGACCTGTCGGAATGGTGGTGCTGTTGTGTTGAACAGGTTTGTGTAACAGTTACCCTTACGCATGTCTGGAGAAAAAACAACAACAATAAAATGCTGTTCAGAAATATATCAAATATCATAATTGATTGTTACAGATGTGAGGTTATAAAATGAAAAGTATTTGGGTCAGAATAAATTCTTACATATGACATGGGTGAGAAATATATTTGATATGTTTTATCATATAAGCATTGTATAATTTATCAGTATAATTGGGGTTGTCGAGTTGACCAAGCAGTCTAGAGTAACCATGAGGTTGTGCGTTGAAACGCCTGAGCTATTTACATTTATTCATTTATCATTCTTGCTGAGACTTACCCATACAGAATCTGTCCTGCATCAGCATGTGCCCAGGTGGACACATACAGGTGAAGTTTCCCTTCAGGTTCATACAGGTGCCTAAACCACACACTTGGATGTCCAGTTCACATTCATTGATATCTGCAAGAAAATATTTACTTCAGCAACTTTGCTAAATGAGAAGTCATCGAGGCATCCATTAATTATCTTAAGGGACACAAGGCATTAAGCCAGACACACATGTATATAATAGCAAAGGTCTAAATCTGTGAACCAAACAGATACTTAAAATTCTGAAAACATTGGAGCCCTTATAGCTATATCCAACTGCCTATATACTGTACTCCGGGTAAATTTCTACACTATAAAATTTCGCGATTTTTCAAAATTGCGATTTTGCGGCTATTTTATTTCGCGGATTTTTCCGATTACCGTGAATCAATGCGGGCTATTTTAGCCCGTTCAGAATCCGAATAATGTTTGTATTTCCCACGTTTAGGGAATTTATTTGAATATTCTTGAATGGCTTTTTCAACTTCAATTTGTAGGATATCATTGTCGTCAACAGTTCTTGCCTTTGTTGGCCTAATAAGCCAATTCAAAATGTTTTTAGGCCTTCGCCCAACAACACTGGAAGAAACTTTTCACACAGAGCGAAACATATCAAAAGGCCCGGGTCAAATCCCCGGGGATTTAAGACAAAATTCGCGACGATAAATGTTCGCGATTTTACTACATTCGCGAACAAAGCGAAATTAAATCGCACACGAACATTACCCGGAGTACAGTAATACATTGTATTTTATGACCATATTTTTTACCTATACACATCCTGTTGGAGTCATCCAATTTGTAGCCTTTAGGACAGTTACAAACAAAGCTGCCAAAAGTATTCTGACAGGTGCCTCCTCTACATATGTTTGGTAGCTCTGCACACTCATCAATATCTGGAGATAAAATGTAATTTTATTTTTATTTGTCAATTTTATTCCAGCCAAACTGAAATTCACATAAATATTAGAATTTCAGTTTTTTTTTATTTCGACATGTCAAGGGGTGGAGACACGTAGAGTATTTTTCGATACATCAGGGAAACATTCAATGGTTACAAATTAACACCCATATTGCAAAACTCTAGTTGTTCAACAAAGTGGGGTTAACCACAAAATTTTTGTTCAAAATCACAACATTTCTTTTGTTAACCCCTCATTCTAGAGATGGATGGCCGTCAATTTATAACAATAGAGTTTTTCCAATCTACTATTACCAGGTAAGAAAACTCTACAAAATGTTCACATGCTACAAAATAATCCACACCTACCTGCTTTTCTTACAAAAATACTCTATATATGTATTTCTGCCTCTTGCACATATTCTAGCAAGTTTATACCAGAAAGAATCTCACTTAAAAATGAATTTACTGTTAGAGGGCCTTACCTTCAAGGATGACTGTGATGGTGTTAGGTCTGAATCCAGGACCACCAGGACATAAGGAATCATATTCACCTGGAAAATGCAATAAACCATGGGTAAGTCTATATTAACCAGGCCAAATACAAGTATACTACTACAGTGAAGCCTGTCTAATCCAAATACCACTTGAACTAACCTTAAAGGCAGAATCAGATCTATAGGGGGTGACAAAATTACAAGCAACATGCAAAATTGATCTACCAATCTATTCCTTACAATATCAAATACAATATCTCCCAAAAGATTCACGATATGTTATAAATTGGTGAAGTTATTAATGATTCAAAGTGCGAGAATGGGTGAAAAATGTTTAAATTCTCCCAAATAATAAGAATGGTAACCATTCTTATAGAAAAATAATACATTATTGTAAAAATCTTTTGTTTTCCTTGAATAAAGTATGCACTTTTGTGATTTTTAGAAAATAGACATGACAATGAATGACATGAGCCAAAAATATTCTAAAATTGAAACAATTTTTTGTTTAGCCTGCTCGCTATCTCTGATTCTCTCTTTAAGCATGTGAATTGGCAATTCAGGTTTTACTGTACAATTAAGTTAATCAGACTAAGTGATATTAAAGGGGCGATGGACCAATCAACATACTTTTTCAAAAATGTTGACAAAATGTGTTATTATTATATTTTATTATATTGTTGAATGCATAATTAGAATGTGCTTTCAGACATGTTGTATTTCGTAAAAGAAAAAGTGGATTCCCCCAAGTACTTTAAAGATACTGAATTTGGATGACCAAAATGAGCTGAAACCAATGGATAGCATGAGTTTTTTCAATGCGGAAATAATATGAGGAACACTAATCTTTGAGGAATTCAGTTTTCCTTTTCGAGAACTAATTGATATAGTAATGCATTTAACATTGTAAAAATGATTGCATAGGTCAATATCATTGAAAAAGTATGTTGATGGGTTGATTGCTAGCTAAATATCTCTGAGTCTGATTGACTTTATTATCTTGTATATACTTTTCTTTGAGATAGTGAATGCATCTGTAGAAGACATTCCAGTCATCATGTTCAGAAAATAGTCATAATCCAAGATATAATCATCTGAAATAGTTTCTGTTTCAGATTTAGTAAAATGTGCATAAAAATGGTAATAAACATCCCTGTAAATTTCTAATCAATGAGCAGACAAGAAAAGTGAGATACCACTGCCTTCCAACCTGATGACAATATAGCTTCATTTGAGTGTCATAAGTCATGAAATACTAGCTAGGAGAGAGTCAATACTTTACTTCAAAAGTAAACAAAGATCATCTTACTTGTTCCATTTCGAGGGCATGACTCACAGAATCCTGTTGTCTCACCCCATTTCGATCCAACCGTACAACAACACGTGGCTCTGTTCATGTTACGACCCAGCACTTTTCCACATTGTTGTGAGCCCAGGTCACCCCTGATGTTCTCTGGGGGCAGGTAGCAGGTCCCGACACGCTTATCAACACAACCATTGCCTGAGGGGTTCAGTTCATAGTTAGGGGGGCACTGACAGATGTAGCTGCCCTTTCTGTTGATACATGTACCATACTGACAACTGTCTGGCATCTCACACTCATCAATATCTGAAGGAAAATCACCAATTAGATGCATTACTGACCTGCAGTTACATTTCTGCAGTGTATAGTTACATAGGAACAGTAACATTATAGGCCATGTACGGTTACATTCAATTATATTTTTGAACAATACAGTTACATTACTGATATGTACAACTACATTGCAGAAGCTACCTTACTGACCTGTACACTTACATTGATAAAGTGAAACATTTCCTGCTAGAAAAGTTACATTACTAAGGTTACAGCACAGATATGAACAGTTACACTACTGAATTTACAGTACTGACCTGTACAGTTTCCACCAGATGGATCCAGTTTGTATCCATTATCACAGAGACATCGGAACATTCCAAATACATTCTCACATCTGCCATCAACACACAGATTGCTGAACATGTCACATTCATTAATGTCTGAAAAACAAGAATGTTTAAAATGTTATGATACAGATTAGATATTCCATTTTTAACACACAATAATTTTATAAATTTCAAAATGTGTACTGTGAGGTACAGCACTTACTTGAAGCATAAATCAGGAAATGGGTAAGGATATACATGTACATGTATGTATAAAATAATTGTAAAGTAAACTCAACCACACATATTATCAAACTTTAATATCCTTCTTCTGAGAACCCAAAAATATAGATTTGTGTCATGATTAATGAGTAATGCTTCAGTTGAAATTTTTTCAAGTACAAATAAAAGTATAATTTATTCAAAAAATTTTAAATATGATCCACCAAAAGATTGTATATTTTCTTGGTATAGACATTGAGTGGTATTCCTAATCAATGAATTGGTTTTCTGAGGAATAAAAGGATTTTAGACACTCAAAGCTGCTTTAAATTCTATTTTGACAATTGGAGTTGTATATATTTTAGTTGAATGAATTAAAAAAAAATTAAAAACCCAAATATACTGGTATGTTAAAATTATGATTTTCTTGATGGCTTTTAAAATTGTTTCTCCTTTGTATTTCGTACATGTTGCCATTTGTTGATCTTTTCATTACAACTTTTTTGAAATATGCATTAATTATGTATAAAAACTCACAAAAAGTGAATATATTTATCAAATATAACTAGGACAGTATTATTTCACATACATTTAAGCGAGGGACCAAAAGGGCATATTTCTTGACTCATGCGTTATATTTTAAGATGGTTACTCTTAATACAAATACTTACCCACACAGGTTCTGTCATTATCCTTAGGGGCAAAACCCATATCACATTCACATTTATATCCTCCTGGGTTGTTCAAGCACTGCCCATTCTCACAGAGATTGGGGTTCAGCTGGCACTCATCTATGTCACGACAATCAAATCCGTCACCCTCAAAGCCCTTGTCACAATAACACAAGAAGCTACCCTCTGTGTTGACACATTCTGCAGCTGGATCGCAACCGCCATTGTTCCTCAAACACTCATTTGCATCTAAAACAATAATTCCATTGCATTTCTACAAATCAATGAGTTATATTAGAAACATAACATAACAAAGATATTGAGGCAACAAAGAATGAAAAACTCAAACCTGTTAAGGAAAGGAAACAAAAACTGATATCATCAAGGAATATGAAATACTTTATATATTGTACATGTACACCAGAACTCTGGTCATCTCAACCATCATGGAAAATTAACTCATCCTTTCTGTGAATACTATGGAAAACTAAACAATGGAAAAACAATACGCAACAATAGTCAATACCCACCTCTGCACTCAAAGCCATTGCCAACAAAGCCCTGTCTACAATCACACTTGTAAGAGCCCTCAGTATTGATGCAGAGGGCATTGTAATCACAGTTAGCTGCACCAGTTTGACACTCATCATCATCTAATGAAATATGAAAACAACATTCATGTACATGTATATTCATTTTTGTAAACAAAATTCCAAATAATTCTTGATAAGTTTGAAATTGTTAAGCATAACATTTGCGCAAACTTAAGAAAATTGATGTTATACCTGTGCACCCATCTCTGACATTGGCTTTGGTTGAATACCCTGGGTCACATTTACAGATGTAAGATCCATGAGTGTTCTGACATGTCCCCTGTCCACATAGGTCGCCATTAATCTTACACTCATCAACATCTGTAATATAATGCAAAATACTAAACAATTTTGTTAAATTCTTTTTGTAGTATAATCTTTATTTATTTATACATTCTGGCCATGAATCACCATATCTGTATTACATGTTGGCCAGTTACTCTGACCTACATTTTCAGATTTTTATGTTTTTTAGACTTCAATCACCTCACCTAAACATTTTGTCTTGTCTGGTGAAAGCATGAGTCCCCCAGTACATGTGCACCTATGTCCACCTGGAATGTTGTAACATTTTCCCCCTCCACAAATATCTTCAAACTCGGAACATTCATCCATATCAGCACAATCCTTCCCATCAGGCATCAGGTGATAGCCATCGTCGCAACCACATTTGTAACTTCCAGGCATGTTAACACATTGAGTCATGCATCCACCATTATCTAGGTCACATTCTCCAATATCTGTAATGAAATAAACATATGAGGAGATATTCTCAATATGATAAGCTTTATCTGACTTTTGTAGACTTTTGTTGTTTGAATCAATAACACGTTTTAGTGTAACCCAAAGGTTATTAAAACACACCTATTATTTTCAGTTTATATATTACCTATGCAGGCAGTCCTATCAGAGTTGGGCACATATCCAGGATTACAGACACACTGATAACTTCCGAGGTAATTCTCACAAACACCATGGGAACACACGCCACTCTCCAATGAACACTCATCTATATCAACACAGGAGTTGCCATCTAGTGTCAGTTCATGGCCATCTGGGCAGTCACAATGGTAGGAGCCTTCTGTGTTGATGCAATCTCCTCCCCGACATAGGCTAGGATTACGTGCACACTCATCAATATCTGTAACGAAAAGCATCAACATTTGTGTCATACCAGCAAACAGTAGTTTCCTTTTGATTGTGTTCCTTTGCTATATTTATGGTGCATGATTTGAATCAGGATTAGGATCCAGTGCCCCATTCAGCACAAAGCAAATACTAAGCCTTATTATTTCCATGCTGTGATTGGTCAATCAGGTACCATGTGACTAAAAATAAAAAAGTGGTGTTCCATCCACATGCTTAAAAAGACGTATTCATCAAGAATAGGCCATATTCAACGATCTTGACATCATAACTAAAATCCCTGGGAAAATAATTACGTTTCCATCAATTTGTTTTCATTTAGTATCAATCTCTGACTTCACATCGAACAGAAATAAAATAAGAATACTGAAAAAATTAAGATTTTAACCTCTGGATGATTAGGATAGATTATTATGATCATTGTAGTTTGCACAAACATCAAAAGACAATTCGAAACATGAAGATGTTTAAAGAACGTTGGATATCTGTATATATTTCTGAGGGATGTATTCAACTCACACTCCAGCCATTGTTGAATACACCTTCAGAAATATTTATAGGATATCCTATGATTTTGAGGAATATCATTTTTATCTATGATATTGATATCTGCACGAGAGAGCAAAGCGAACGAGTGCATATATCAATATCACCGAGTAGATTAAAATGATATTCTGAAAAAAATCATAGGATGTTCTTATCCTACACTTACAAGGAGTGTGCTAAATGTATAATATCATTGCAAAATGAATTTCATGCCAAATAGAGTCAATTTGGCAGGAAATCAACAAGCGGAGTATATTGTCACAATATCCTGCTTATATTGGGTTTTCCGGAGGATATCGTGCCCGGAGTATATCATCACGATATCCTCCAGTTATTCATTTTGCCAATAAATATCATCCTTGACTATATTCTAGGAAAAGGTGTTTTTAATTTTCACACATCAACAAACTAAGAGAGATAATGATGCTATTAGACCTGAGGCACATTTAACTCTATTGTAAATGATCTCTTACCCATACAAACTCTCATCATCATCTGAACTTCAAATCCCTCATAACAGTCGCATGTAAATCTGCCTGGTTGGTTGACACATGTACCATTACCACAAACATTGTTTGAGATACTACATTCGTCAATATCTACAAAAATAAATAATCACTTTTTAATACAGGTGTAAATGTAAGTAACACACACTTATTTCATTGATATCTATAATAAACCCTTTTGTACTGCATCAATATCTGTAAAAAGCAAAAAAACACAAAATCAATATCAATATCAATATCAAAAAGAATATCTGCAACACAGCAAAATCAGTGTCAAATTACTTTCTCAGATCTGTAAAACAGAAAATGTATATTTTTGATATGTTACGAAAGAATGAATCCCTTTCCATTTAATTCAAAAACTTTAAGATCATAAAAGTACAGGGTGACACATAACTTTTTTGTCTGCATAAATTCTGATTTGTACATTAAAACTAGACTCCCTGGAGCAACTCCATGAGAGTTGACTACCTCAACTAGATTATGAGTGTTACAAGATGTGCTCTAAACGTCCATTCTTTGCATACTAGTCTATAAAACTAAAAGAATATATAAAATAAAGTTGAGTACCTGTACAGTTCTTGCCAGTATCGTCCACTGCATATCCCTGGTTACATAAACATTCAAAGCTCCCAGCTGTGTTAAGACAGCGTCCATTCATACAAAGCATTGGAAACATCACACATTCATTAATCCCGCCTGGCCCATCTGTACCACCTTCCATTTCACCACAGAGCTTGTCATAGTCCTTTGTTCCTTTCACTGGACATTGTTCACATGCTGAGCCCCATGCCTCTCCTGGAATGAACAAGTATAAAGCACTTGATAAACATTACCCTGAGCAAGACCTTCATCTGCACTCTTCATATAGTAATTAATTATTTGATCTAGATCTAGCTGATAACCAATCAGAAACTGTATGTCAGGAAATCACTATAATATTGTATACTCCAATTAAACGGCTATGAAAGATATATCTCAGATGAACTTATCCGTAAATTCAGTTTGAAAATCATTTGACAGATAATCAGAGGGTCATGGGGCCAATCAATTGAAATTCAGGATACAACAATATTCACATATTATTCAATCATGCATCATGCAGCTCCAAGATCTCTATTCACACTGTTAATGTTAATGGAAATGGAGCTCCAAGATCTCTATTCACACTGTTAATGTTAATGGAAATGGAGCTCCAAGATCTCTATTCACACTGTTAATGTTAATGGAAATGGAGCTCCCTATTATGAAAAACCTTTGAATTCATTCATTCATTCATTCATGACAATAAGACATCTGTTAACAAATGTTTAAAAGTTAACTATTTGAATAATATCATTCCTTTTAAGGAGGTTAATTCAAAATATGCACAAAGTTCCCCTTTCATAATGATGATCTCTACAAACTCTATAATACATTCTTCCAGGGTGTTACTACATTCTCTAGAGAGTATAGCCAATAATAATGGTTTTCAGTCCAGTTATCTATATATCAGATTCAGCTGACACACATATTATTTCAACAGTTAAAGTGTTTAGCAATCAATTTGTGAAATTCCAAGGCATAGCCTATTACATGAGAATACATAAATACATGGTAACCATATACAGGTTAATTTTGCTATATAGGTAAGGTAGTCTAATCTAGGAATTGTGAATAACCGAACCAAAGCCCGAACTGAGGGAGTCAAATACCAAACAAAACCAAAAACTTTGAAACAGTCTGACCCCACATGTTTCCAATAATTTCATCTATGAATACTTTGAAAAACTTAACATATAAAAATAGAACTGAAACACTTACCAATAGAACAACAGCAATGAGACTTCAGGTAGTTTCCAGTTAGAGGTCCACTACAAGTTCCCAGATAATAGCGTTGATAACAAGATTCTTCACGTGTATCTGCAAAAATTTATATATGGAAAGAAATTGAAAGGTATTAATTTCTATATAAATATTTCTTTTATAACATAATCTAAAAAATGTGGTGTTTACTAAAAAGGATGAATGATTACGCATTTTTGAAACTTATTGGTGCCTCATTCTTAGAAATAAAAATTCAAGAAAAAATTTCGGGGTATTTAAATCTTATGTTTTATATGGTATCAATACAAAAAATATATTCTTAAATAATGCCATTTGGTTGGAAAGAATAAATAAAGCACTTGTCCAGAGTGTAAACACCCAACATACAATGCCTGTTTTTGATTGTTCATTCCAAATCAACCATTGCACCAACGTCCCATGTGACTTCTTATAATAAAAATGATAACTTACCAAAGCAACGTCTACCCGAGGCATCAATACTGAGACCAGGAGGACATTCACACTTGAACGAGCCTATAGTGTTCACACAAAATCCACCCTCGCAGATACCGGTCTCTTCAAAGATTTTACACTCATTTATGTCTGCAACAGAAATAATTTTGATATTGAGTGTTATGAACATGCATTTCTCTTTGTATTAGTATATTTGTTGACTATACTAGGCTCTAAACATGGTCTGAAACCCTTAAGCAACTTTTGCCATTCAACTCTAAATATATCATAATATATGATGGTCAATATTCTAAGTATATTACATAGGTCCATCACACTTAGCTTACTATTGTATTGTGTTATATCACAAGGTATTAATGTTAATGACAAAATGTCAACACCTAGTTGCTCACAATATTATGTGTTCAATCTAAGTCAGAAAGATTTGTCAATTTGAGGCAAGTTGAAAAAATACCTTTTTGACCTTGAGAAGGTTACTGAAGGTTAAATCTTAAATCTAAAATCAGATTTGAACTTCAAAGAATTTGTAGATGATCTTGAAAAAAAAGAATTGGTCAAATTTGAAGCAAGTTGAAAAATACCTCTTTGACCTTTTTTTACCTTGAGAAGGTCATTGAAGGTCAAATCTCAAATCCTAAGTCAGATTTGATCTTATGAGAACTTAGATGAACTTAGAAGATTTTAAGTCAGTCTAAACTGTATTTGTTAATTTACTGGAAGTTGGAAGAATTTGTTACAGACCCCAGATGCCAACTGCCACCCATCAACAACCACACACCAACCAACCTCACAAAAAATAGAGACCATAAAAATATGTCACCCCTTTTGGTGGTGACATAATAAAACAACTTATATTCGGGACCCACCTATACAGTTCATGCCATCTGGTGCATGCTTTCCCTTGGGACAGTCGCCTGGCAGCTCCATATCATCACTACATTTCTCACATGGACTTCCCCAGGCAGATCCTACAGTTGAACAGCACTCAGATTTTGTCATAAGTGGGCCAATTCTGTCCTCGCAGTTCCCATTGACCTGTCTGCCCCAACACATTGATTTGCGACCATCTGAAAAATGGCATTTACTTCAAACTATTTTCTCTGATTAAAATAAAAGTTAATTTCAGAACTATAAGTTTTCTAGTTAATATTTCTCTAACATTAAAATTACATTGACTTAGAAACAAATATGGCCACTGGAATTCAAGACAACCATTCAACAGTTCCATTAAGCATTTTCTAGCCACAAAGCTACACTGCAACAAGGCCAACCCTTATCACTAGACTGATATTCTCTAAATCTCTAGATCTGAATAAATACAGTATATCAACATGCAAACGCCATATTAGTGACATTGGCTTTTTTTACTTCATTTTCCATCTAAAAATCCAGGTAGGATATCTTGAAAACATTTGGGAAAGTATGTTTGGGAAAGTATGTTTAATTCCCCACAACCTATATTTTATCCTCCAATGGTGTATTCCAGATCTTTGGGACAAACAGTTTGTCTACTTTTCTCAATTATAATGTCTCTCAGTTGATTTTCATCTAAGAATTACTCCCACCTACTATTAAAATAGATTTAGCAATCCTTCACTAATTTTTACAGCATCTCAAATAATTTTTCAAAACTGTAGCTATAAATACAGTGTGCCAGACCTTTTATATTGAGGTGTAATCGAGTCAGAAAATCTCACTAGGCTCACCTTAACATACATTTCAAGTCTAAAATATGTGAGTCCCTAACATAATGTATAAATTAAGGTGGAACCTACTCAGACATATTCTCCTGCTGGTGGCCAATGTATAAATCAAGGAGAAACCTACCCACACATACTCTCCTGCTAGTGTCCAATGTAGTTCCAGGGATGTTACATTTACACTTGAAACTTCCGAGGAGATTGACACAGAGACCATTGATACAAGGGCTTGGGACAGCCAGACACTCATCGATATCTGAAAAAACATACATGTACAGTGAAACCAGTATATCCGATCACCTTCCCATCTGAACACCATTTTCAGGTTCCATTTTTCCTCCTTCTGAAATCTGGACACATCCCTATTCAAACAGTGAACACTCATACTTGATTATTAACCTGTCTAATTTGAACACTTTTCAGAAAATATAACATACTGTTTTCTTACAAAATTGCTCTAATATTTTCAATTTAACACTGATTTGTTTTCATATCAAATTTTTGTAAAAATAAAAACGTCAAATGACCTTAATAATAATGGGTCTTTTTTGATTCAAGCTAAATTCATTCGAATCAGATTTTGAATTGCTATAAAGCTATGATGTCAATACTGTTAGAAATACTAATATTAAATGAGAATGCATTTATATATCTTAAAAATCCAGAATCTTGCAGATGCAAAAAACTCGAAATCGAAAGGTTTTGCTCTGTGTGATGTGATTGGTCAATATGACTGTGTTTTCGAGGTGTGGGAAACAGACGTCATATAACACTCTGACATAAATATATCATACATGTCTAAAACATCATTTCCTGTTGAAAAAACATTCAAAATATCCCAAAGGACGATTCTCGGTTTGGAGAACGAAGTTCTTCAATCTAAATGAGCATTATCCCTGTTTCGGACAAATTTGATTTTTTTACATAATATAGATTTGAATGTCTTCTTTTGAATAGTCATAATTTAATTTGGGTAATATTTTTAGATTTTTCGCAAAAAAATATTAGCGCAGTACACTGATGAACTTCTTTCCCCAAAATCAAGACTTGTATTTTATTGAATCAGTCTAATTGAGCATTATCCCTGCTTCAGACCAATTTGTTATTTTTACATCTTGTAGATTTAAATGTCCTCTTTTGAATATTCATAGTTTAATTTGGGTAATATTTCTATATTTTTCATGAAAAAAATTATTAGCCGAGAATCGTCCTTTTACTTTATAACAAGACACACAATGATAAATATTGCACTTTGAGGAGTAAAATGGCCGCAATGTAATTTATCAATCATCTCCAAAACCTTATCAGATCTTGGCACTTGTCTGCTTTTGCATCTGTAAAGGCATACAAATGCACACATAAAGTAATAGCCACAGACTACAAAATTAATTAAATCCTTTTGAAACTCAGTGAAAAAATAATAACATACCTTCACACATGTTTGTGTCTGGGTTTAGAGTATGGCCAGCCTTGCAGGTACATTGGAAGCTACCTGGAGTATTACGGCAGGTCCCCTCATTACACAACAGTCTGTTGGTGGCACACTCATTGATATCTGAAATAAACAAAAGAAATCTATAACAATTACAAGTAATAATTAAAGGCAGCGTATCAATATTACAGATAACATGATTTCAGGTAGCAAATTTCAGATAACATGATATTACAGGTAGAAAGATATTCGGATTGGATAACCAGAAAAATAATTATAGTTTCTGCGACAAATCAAACAGCCTGAAAACAATAGTCATCCTTCAGAAAAAATGTATTTGCAATTTTAGTAAACATTAAAACAATCCATTTATAACATGAATGTAAAGTGAGGTTTAGGGACCTAGCCAATGTGGTAAACATGACACTATTCACATAATTCTTCATTATAACAATACAATAAATAACAATAATGTATCACTTAGAAAAAGTGAACCCCTGGCTACAGGCATGATTTTTTTTTTTTAATTCAAAAATTTCAAAAATAATGATTTAATAAGATATATGACATGGTTCATTTTATTTTGGCTTCAGAAAAAAATCCTGTTATAAAAAGAAATGCAATGTAAAATATGAGTCTCTTCGAAAGTAAATGGGAGCAGTCAAAAGGAAAACCACAAGGTCATTAAGAGTAAACCACACATAGAGTAATTAACTATGATATCAAGAAACAGGCATCTGTACCATTTTTCATGAAATCTTCACTTAAAAAATGTTACATTCCACAGTTGAGTTCTATTTAAACCTCTAAACATCATTTCATTTCCTGAAAGCAATTTTTTATCAGAATGAAAGTAGTCTCTAAAACTTTTCCAACATTTGTAACAAGAACATTACTCTCCTGCCAATTCGCCTTACACTCTTCTTTGTTAAGTAATAGAATAGCACTAAGCCGTAACATATGTTTTAAGAGCATTAATTAATAGTCTTTGGTTGCTTTGGTTCAAGCCAAACAGTTCTTATTCCCACACAATATCAATATTCTCTACAAGTATACATTCTAAATGAAATATATTATTTCATCTTACCCAAGCAAACCTTTCCAGAACGGTCCAACTTGAATCCTTCATTACATTTACATGTATAACCATCTGCAAGATTCACACATCCTCCATTGGGGCAAATCAAAGGGTTGATTTGACACTCATTAATGCCTGCAAACAAAGCATACAATAAATACTTGCTTGTTTGTTGTTTAGTGATAATATTCTTGTATGATCATAAAATATTTATTTTTTGTTTGGTCACACCATATTTGTTTGGTCATAATATACCTGTTTGTTGTTTGGTCATAACATCCCTGTTTGGTTTGTTATTGTATGGTCATTATCAAAATGTAAACCAAAGTAAGAACACTAAACTCATATAGTTTTTCATGATGATGAATAGAATTTATATCACAGGTCCTAAAATTATGTAAGGAAAAAACAAATTTATCCTGGGGAAAATTATGCAGATTAAGCAGGACACTGTAGTACATTCAATCGTAAAAACTACACTGCAATTTAAATAACCAGCTATATACCAATTATTCTATGTACTGTCTGCAGTTGTCTTCAACTCTAGGACCTGTGTTACTAGTATATAAATTTCTACCTGCTCCTCCATTAGTCATACCCCCTCCATGTGGGCAGATGTTTCTGTATTCCTGGGTGCCTGGCTCTGGACAAACCTCTGGAACTTGGTTGGGCAGCCCCCAGCAGAAGCCCTTAGAGCCCATACTTTCCATGGCACAGCAACACTGAGACTTGGTCAAAAGGGCAGGGGATGGATTGGAACACTGGCCTGGCCCTCGGATTGTCAGGAAACATTGAGCTGGGGTTGAATCTGAAGCAATTACAAACATATGAGGATTACTCATACAATTAGATGTACATATCTACTTTAAAGAAAGGCTTGGCATACTTTTCAATGTTCCTTGGCTAAATAAAAACTTATTCTTCATCATCATAGTGTTTTAAATAGATTGATACATAATCAATCTTTCGTTTGACAACAAAAACACCTCAAAAGGTCTATATCGTAGATTATGATTACAAATCAAAAAAAATATTCTCTAATCTATCAACATCAGGTGGTGAAAGGGGTAAGTAAGCAAGAGATAAACCAAACACATTAGCCAAAACATTCTTAAACAGTGCAAGTCTCCATACAGATCTCAAATTCTCATGTTGTTATGTGAATTTTTTTTTCACAGCTCAATATTTGCTCAAAATAAGCTTTGTAAAGTATTCAATTGACTGTGTGTATTTCTGCAATTTTTGTTCATCAGTTTGCAGTAAGCCTATTATATTTGTAGGAATAATAGAATAGGGGGTGTGTAAAATTTCTGTATTTTTTAATTATACCACTAAATGTGTAAATCATATTTACAAAAATAGCATTACTTTTTCTATTTTTGTACATTGATTGCATGTGGAAAATGTATGTTCTGTATGGGGTTAACATAATGTATGTTCTGTATGGGGTTAACATATAATGTATGTTCTGTATGGGGTTAACATAATGTATGTTCTGTATGGGGTTAACATAATGTATGTTCTGTATGGGGTTAACATTATGTATGTTCTGTATAGGGTTAACATTATGTATGTTCTGTATGGGGTTAACATAATGTATGTTCTGTATGGGGTTAACATTATGTATGTTCTGTATGGGGTTAACATTATGTATGTTCTGTATGGGGTTAACATAATGTATGTTCTGTATGGGGTTAACATAATGTATGTTCTGTATGGGGTTAACATTATGTATGTTCTGTATAGGGTTAACATAATGTATGTTCTGTATGGGGTTAACATTATGTATGTTCTGTATGGGGTTCACATTATGTATGTTCTGTATGGGGTTAACATAATGTATGTTCTGTATGGGGTTAACATAATGTATGTTCTGTATGGGGTTAACATAATGTATGTTCTGTATGGGGTTAACATAATGTATGTTCTGTATGGGGTTAACATAATGTATGTTCTGTATGGGGTTAACATAATGTATGTTCTGTATGGGGTTAACATAATGTATGTTCTGTATGGGGTTAACATAATGTATGTTCTGTATGGGGTTAACATTATGTATGTTCTGTATGGGGTTCACATTATGTATGTTCTGTATGGGGTTAACATAATGTATGTTCTGTATGGGGTTAACATAATGTATGTTTTGTATGGGGTTAACATAATGTATGTTCTGTATGGGGTTAACATAATGTATGTTCTGTATGGGGTTAACATAATGTATGTTCTGTATGGGGTTAACATAATGTATGTTATGTATGGGGTTAACATAATGTATGTTCTGTATGGGGTTAACATAATGTATGTTCTGTATGGGGTTAACATAATGTATGTTCTGTATGGGGTTAACATTATGTATGTTCTGTATGGGGTTAACATAATGTATGTTCTGTATGGGGTTAACATAATGTATGTTCTGTATGGGGTTAACATAATGTATGTTCTGTATGGGGTTTACATAATGTATGTTCTGTATGGGGTTAACATAATGTATGTTCTGTATGGGGTTAACATAATGTATGTTCTGTATGGGGTTAACATAATGTATGTTCTGTATGGGGTTTACATAATGTATGTTCTGTATGGGGTTAACATAATGTATGTTCTGTATGGGGTTAACATAATGTATGTTCTGTATGGGGTTAACATAATGTATGTTCTGTATGGGGTTTACATAATGTATGTTCTGTATGGGGTTAACATAATGTATGTTCTGTATGGGGTTAACATAATGTATGTTCTGTATGGGGTTAACATAATGTATGTTCTGTATGGGGTTTACATAATGTATGTTCTGTATGGGGTTAACATAATGTATGTTCTGTATGGGGTTAACATAATGTATGTTCTGTATGGGGTTAACATAATGTATGTTCTGTATGGGGTTAACATAATGTATGTTCTGTATGGGGTTAACATAATGTATGTTCTGTATGGGGTTAACATAATGTATGTTCTGTATGGGGTTAACATAATGTATGTTCTGTATGGGGTTAACATTATGTATGTTCTGTATGGGGTTAACATAATGTATGTTCTGTATGGGGTTAACATAATGTATGTTCTGTATGGGGTTAACATAATGTATGTTCTGTATGGGGTTAACATAATGTATGTTCTGTATGGGGTTAACATAATGTATGTTCTGTATGGGGTTAACATAATGTATGTTCTGTATGGGGTTAACATAATGTATGTTCTGTATGGGGTTAACATAATGTATGTTCTGTATGGGGTTAACATAATGTATGTTCTGTATGGGGTTAACATAATGTATGTTCTGTATGGGGTTAACATAATGTATGTTCTGTATGGGGTTAACATAATGTATGTTCTGTATGGGGTTAACATAATGTATGTTCTGTATGGGGTTAACATTATGTATGTTCTGTATGGGGTTAACATAATATATGTTCTGTATGGGGTTAACATAATGTATGTTCTGTATGGGGTTAACATAATGTATGTTCTGTATGGGGTTAACATAATGTTTGTTCTGTATGGGGTTAACATAATGTATGTTCTGTATGGGGTTAACATAATGTATGTTCTGTATGGGGTTAACATAATGTATGTTCTGTATGGGGTTAACATAATGTATGTTCTGTATGGGGTTAACATAATGTATGTTCTGTATGGGGTTAACATAATGTATGTTCTGTATGGGGTTAACATAATGTATGTTCTGTATGGGGTTAACATAATGTATGTTCTGTATGGGGTTAACATAATGTTTGTTCTGTATGGGGTTAACATAATGTATGTTCTGTATGGGGTTAACATAATGTATGTTCTGTATGGGGTTAACATAATGTATGTTCTATATGGGGTTAACATAATGTATGTTCTGTATGGGGTTAACATAATGTATGTTCTGTATGGGGTTAACATAATGTATGTTCTGTATGGGGTTAACATAATGTATGTTCTGTATGGGGTTAACATAATGTATGTTCTGTATGGGGTTAACATAATGTATGTTCTGTATGGGGTTAACATAATGTATGTTCTGTATGGGGTTAACATAATGTATGTTCTGTATGGGGTTAACATAATGTATGTTCTGTATGGGGTTAGCATAATGTATGTTCTGTATGGGGTTAACATAATGTATGTTCTGTATGGGGTTAACATAATGTATGTTCTGTATGGGGTTAACATAATGTATGTTCTGTATGGGGTTAACAATCATACAGGGTGATCCAAAAGTAACATCTTGTGTTGCTATTTCAATACAACATTACTACTCTTTTTGAAACTTGGTACAGATGAAACTTGGAAACATTACTGAGTTCATACCTCAAATATAAAGATTCTACTACTTGGTAGGTCGATTTCCTGGTCACTATGGTTACTAAATGTGAAGTCACCCAGGGCAAAGTTTTGTAACTGAATTTAAGTTTTTAGGAAAAATAAATATCTCCAATATGGTCACTCTTTTCTGACTTTCTCCCAAATACATCTTTTTAAATGGACTATTACAAACTTCACTAATCTCTTGATTAATAATTACCTAGACACGTTCTCCCATCAACTCCTAATGTAAAGCCCTGGAAGCACTCACACTTGAAGCTACCCTGTGTGTTGATGCACTGTCCATTACGACAAGCTGTGTCTTCATTTGACACATCACACTCATCAATATCTGCAAGTAAAAAGAGACCATTTATTAAAACTGTACTGGGGGGCTGTATGTAGTGACTGTAATGAAACCTATTTTACATTATTCTATTGCATGTATGGACTGTATATTGTTATGAAGCATATTTTACATTATTTTTGGGGACTGTGTATATAGCAATATGTCCATTTGCATTATTTTAGGGGACTGTGCATGCTGTATTCAAGCCCATTTTACATCATTTCTGGGAACTGTGTGTATATAGCGATGATGTCCATTTACATTATTTTTGGGGTTCTATTTAGAGACGTGGATGTTGAATATTGTTCTAGTGTATGTTTTAACAGGAAATATATGTTATGTTTGCAGACCATGAAAAACTGCAAATAGCATTAAAAAAATGTTATATGTTGAATAATAGGCTAAACGCTGAAATAATTTGAAAAAGAACATAACACCATGATAAATTATATAAATGAACTTAAAGTTTATCTGTATTCGAAAGTTAACTTCCCATTACACCCTCATTATTTATCCAGCAATCCTACTATGATTTAAAGTTCAGGTAGACAATCCAGCATTTCAATCTGTGTTGAATGAAAAAAACTCAACATTTTCACCTTATACTACAATTATAGACATTTGTTTATTAAATGATTTGAAAATGAATGTTCCTTGAAATAACTAAATTTTGTAAAACCTTCAACACATATTTTCGAATATGGTAACTATTATTAATCACATTACATTGGACTACAGTAACTCGTACTATTAAAAATAAATACTGTTGATTTCATGCATGTAGACTTCAGAGCATCACTTGACTCCATGCAAAAAATAGATATAAAAGGGGAGAGCTGAGTGGTACTCACCTAAGCAGGTCTCGCCTGAGGGGTCAGGCAAGAATCCCAAGTCACATTCACACTTAAAAGTGCCTTCCATGTTAACACATTGGCCATTGGCACACATCCCTGTTCTTGCACACTCATCATAATCTAGAAAAACATATTTTTGTTTTCATTATTCTTTTGTAATAGAGATCAGGTATTAGGATGAAATTCAATCCCTTGGACAGGGGATATAGCCTATTTCCATAGAAAGTAACAGAATTCTCTTCAACCAATGTTTTATAATTGTCTTAGAACGCCTTCTAACTGTTGCCTAGCAACTTTAATGTAGAATTGATAAATATCACCCCATACTTACCAACACAGAAGGCGCCATCTGGTGAGAGTTGATAGCCAGGATTACACTCGCAACTGTACCCTCCAGCAAAGTTGTTGCACCTACCATTCAGACAGATGCGGCCATTTTGACTGCACTCATCGATATCTGAAATATGAATGAAAATTGCAATTAAACAAATAATTTCAAAAAAGACCAGAACTACCTTAAATGTCCATGGCTTTGTGGCTTTTAGATTGTGATTATAGTTCCTGAAAGATGCAAGACAGTTTTAGACATTGCTTCTTTCTAAGTAATCATAGTTTTTTAGATTTTAGATTTCATTTCCACATGTTCTTTTCTATATAGCTTAAGTCAAAATAATAATTATCATCAACATAATTTATTTAACATACAATGAATTTAGTAAACATCCTATAGATAGCATTGGGAATATTTACAAAATAGGACACTGCTTATATTGGCCTCATTACCTTAGTTCAACTTTAGCAGTTAAAAAAGTATATTTCATTACAACGTTGTGATAACCGGTTTGTTTTTGTTTATTGTTTATATTATCCTTCCTGAGTCAAATTGTATGTGCATTCTTAACCAAGAAACCCAAATTAAGTAAATGAAGTAAAAAATAACAATCGTTTGAATACCAATATAAGATTTACAGCACCTGAGGAAAGGATAACATTTGAATGGCAAATGAGCCTTAAAAATCAGCTTAAAAGAATTCAAATAGTTTTTAAGTTGTTTTTCTTTTTGCCCTTTTGTATGATATGAATTTGAACATATAGTTAAGTTCCCTCTAACACACATACACACACATATTGAAGTAACAGGTCTTGCAAAAATTCTTTCAATATCATGCAGTTTTTTACAATTCTAAGCACTTTTTGTAATTTTGGGCCAAAAAGTGAACCCCATTAAGCAAAAACTGGCTATAGGCCTGCATGGTGTAGTGATTATTTTGGCCTTGACTCTCCTCTTAATAAAACGCCACCTTGACCAATAAATGCCACCCACCACCACCCCTTGATCCCACCCTACAACCACCTGACACTTGTCCCAGGTTCAGATGATAATTTATCACTACATTATGATTACAATCTTCTAATCTTCTTCACCTTTATCAATAAAACAATTTTTCACGAAGTGTCCTCAAGTTTTGCTTCTAATACCTTATTTTATGTGATCTATCTATGTCAAATAAAACATGTCTAAGGTATGCATGTGCAAATCTCTACAACATTGTAAACAGATATCTAGGTATGTCAATTATATAGAAATCCAGAAATAAAATGGAAATACTTCCTTCAGATATGACTACCTGCCTTGCTTATTGGTATTATTATTTCACAATAAATATATAACAAGGCATTAACATGACAAAATGTCACCACCTAGTTGCTCACAATATTATGAGTTCAAACTTAAGTCAGATTAGAATTTCTGAGAACTTGTAAAGTCAAATTTGAACTTCTGAAAAGATGAAGATGATTTTGAAAAAAAAATGTGGTCAATTTGAAGCAAGTTGAAAAAAGACCTTTTTGACCTTTTTTGACCTTGAGAAGGTCATTGAAGGTCAAATGTCAAATCTAAAGTCAGATTTGAATTTCTGAGAACATGTAGATGATTTTGAAAAAAAATTTAGTCAATTTGAAGCAAGATGAAAAAATACCTTTTTGACCTTTTTTGACATTGAGAAGGTCATTGAAGGTCAAATGTCAAATCTAAAGTCAGATTTGAATTTCTGAGAACATGTAGATGATTTTGAAAAAAAAAATTAGTCAATTTGAAGCAAGTTGAAAAAAGACCTTTTTGACCTTTTTTGACCTTGACAAGGTCATTGAAGGTCAAATGTCAAATCTAAAGACATTATTGAATTTCTGAGAACATGTAAATGATTTTGAAAAAAAATTTAGTCAATTTGAAGCAAGATGAAAAAAGACCTTTTTGACCTTTTTTGACATTGAGAAGGTCATTGAAGGTCAAATGTCAAATCTAAAGTCAGATTTGAATTTCTGAGAACATGTAGATGATTTTGAAAAAAAAATTTAGTCAATTTGAAGCAAGTTGAAAAAAGACCTTTTTGACCTTTTTTGACTTTGAGAAGGTCATTGAAGGTCAAATGTCAAATCTTAAGTCAAATCTAAAGTCAGATTTGAATTTCTGAGAACACGTAGATGATTTTGAAAATTTTTTTTAGTCAATTTGAAGCAAGTTGAAAACAGACCTTTTTGACCTTTTTTGACCTTGAGAAGGTCATTGAAGGTCAAATGTCAAATCTTAAGTCAGATTTGAATTTCTGAGAACACGTAGATGATTTTGAAAAAAAAATTTAGTCAATTTGAAGCAAGTTGAAAACAGACCTTTTTGACCTTTTTTGACCTTGAGAAGGTCATTGAAGGTCAAATGTCAAATCTAAAGTCAGATTTGAATTTCTGAGAACATGTAGATGATTTTGAAAAAAAAATTTAGTCAATTTGAAGCAAGTTGAAAAAAGACCTTTTTGACCTTTTTTGACTTTGAGAAGGTCATTGAAGGTCAAATGTCAAATCTTAAGTCAAATCTAAAGTCAGATTTGAATTTCTGAGAACATGTAGATGATTTTGAAATTTTTTTTTAGTCAATTTGAAGCAAGTTGAAAACAGACCTTTTTGACCTTTTTTGACCTTGAGAAGGTCATTGAAGGTCAAATGTCAAATCTTAAGTCAGATTTGAATTTCTGAGAACACGTAGATGATTTTGAAAAAAAAATTTAGTCAATTTGAAGCAAGTTGAAAACAGACATTTTTGACCTTTTTTGACCTTGAGAAGGTCATTGAAGGTCAAATGTCAAATCTTAAGTCAAATCTTAACTCAGATTTGAATTTCTGAGAACACTTAGATGATTTTGAAAAAAAATTTAGTCAATTTGAAGCAAGTTGAAAACAGACCTTTTTTGACCTTGAGAAGGTCATTGAAGGTCAAATGTCAAATCTAAAGTCAGATTTGAAGGTCAAATGTCAAATCTTAAGTCAGATTTGAATTTCTGAGAACATGTAGATGATTTTGAAAAAATTTTTAGTCAATGTGAAGCAATAATAATTTTTTAAAATAATGAAAAATTGTGTTATTACAATGAAATCTGTATTATTCAAATCCAAGATGACTTACCGATACAGATTTGTTGATTGGGGCTCTGTTTGAAGCCTTCATTGCAGACGCATTTGTACGAACCATCCATGTTTGTACATTGGCCATTAGGGCACATCTTAGTGTCTGCACATTCATCCATATCTGAAAACAGAAAAAAATTGTAAATTGTCAATAGACAATATTTTTTTAGCAAATTATAACATCTAAATTCATAAACAGAATTTCATAACATGACGGACAGACAAATTGAATTCATTCAATTTCTGATAGATTTATACAACATTGAGTCTTTTATAAACCATTACCATGGCTGTAAATGGAAAAATGAAATAAATGGAAAAAATGAAAAAAGATATGCAAACTCTAACCTAGCAGTAATATTTCCAACTTGTGGTGATCTTATTAAAACTGAGCTGACCTACCTGTGCAATAGAAGCCATCACTAGATATGGTGAAACCTGGTTTGCAGAGACACTTGAAGCTTCCTTCAGTGTTCAAACACTCTCCATTCGTACAGATTCCTGACCTTGTACACTCATCATCATCTACAATAAATATAAGTTTGGCATTATTAATTTTGTATTCTAATTAAATATCTCTTAATATCATTTACACATGACCAAAGTAACATGTATAACTATCATCCTTCTAAACTATAATATGCACGCTGCTTAATAAGCTATCTATAGGGGTAAACCACAAATTTTTATTTCAAAACAGATCTCAATTATTTTAATACTGGGTAAGCCAAATCAACTTTACTTGTAATTCCTTGTTCTACCATAATGAAATTGGTCTTACCAATACCCCTCCCCAGAAAAACTTAAAATATCATAATTTGATTCCCAATGATATTTTGTTCCTACCATTAAATCAGTAAAGAGATAATGCTTTCAAAGTAACAACTGTAAACATTAATGAAATCCAGGTCCTTTCTTCTATAAATTCAATATCAACAAATTATCAAAGGAGTCTACACTTTGCTCCCTTGGCCCAGGATACAAAAGGATCAAGTCCCAGATACATAAACAAAGTGACCAGTATGTAGGATATCAATCAGAGGTGATGTGAGGCCCATCAATAAAATGACATGGGTGTCATCTTAAAATGAAAAGGAGAGTGAAAAAGAGGTGCCATTATTGTAGAGAGGAATATTGTAAGGAGAAACTACATTGTATATGGAGAGAAACATCAGGGAACCATGCAGTTATTTCAAAGCATTACGTGACATGGAGTAGTATAAGAAAAGACAAACTTTAAAAGCAAAAGAGACCTCCCAGTGATCTCTCACTGATGTAGACCTAATATTGCCCAAAGCATGACCTCCCAGTGATCTCTCACTGATGTAGACCTTATATTGCCCAAAGCATGTGTAAATTCAAAGAGATCAAAAGGGTCGATCAGATTTGGTGACTCAACATTTCAAAATGATTTCAATTTCAGAGCCTTTTTATCTCATACTATATTCCTTGTCATGTTTATTTCCTTTTAATATCGAAGAAAGCTATTCCCAGGAAATTATAGATTTTAACATTTATTTGGGAATTTTTCCTTTCCATAAGTTACACATGTTTCACAAATAACACATCACTGGATGGTTGTTATTTTTTCTTGCAAATCTTAAATCTCTAAAAGATAACCCAAAGATATATGAAGATGTATGTACATGTATGTATGTATGTATACAGTACATTACAAAAATATCATGTTAGTAGTAAGACTGCAGTTGGACCAACTCCTTCTGTACCCCCTCTCTCTCTCTCTCTCTCTCTCTACCATACCTATACCACAAAAGAGGGAGATGGAGGGGCCTATGGGACAAAGAAAAATGAATATGGCTTAATATTAATGTTCTCTTACCGATACAGCCTCCAGCCTCATCCAGTTTGTAGCCTGGGTTACATACACATCTGAATGAAGCTTGTGTGTTGAAACACTTTCCATTGCGACATATCCCTGGGAACAGTTCACACTCATCAATATCTTTTGTTAATTCCCCAGTACCTTCTCCAGTGCACAAAGTCTTGTAGGTGTCTGGAATAATTGAAATTCATCATTTTATTTTATCAACTTCAATTGGAGATTATGTGTGTGACTATGTCCTGGGATATATGGGATATATATGAAGTACAAGATATATACAGTGGTGGATAATGTGGGGGGGGGGGGTCAAGGGACATTATTTTTTCATTTTTTCAAATTATCACAAACGTCCATTATCTATTTATCAGGTCTTGTACATGTTTGTAACAGTGACATATAGGAAAACATGGGAAATTGTCAAGTGCATTTGGACAACTGGTGTCTATTATATTTGAACAAGAATGTTATTTGTAACTTATAGACAGTTAAAGCTCACGTGGGGTCATTATTGACAGACAGCAACATATCATAACATGGTTGCCTCCTGTTTCCAAGTTCATAAAGTCAGAAAGAAAACAAGCCACAATACCCTTACAACTCATTACATCGTAAATTTTATAAAGTCACTATATAATGTTAGACCCCAACAAAATATTCAGATGGGGAAGAGTGTTGTATCAAGTCTTTGTCTCCATGTCACCTCCCCCCCCCCCTCCTTCTCCTCACATTTACTATATCAGGGAAGGCCAAATACCTCTTTTACAAATCGAAGTAATGTTGAAATTTAGATATAACTCTCAATAATAAAGAACTATCTTTTTTCTCAAATGGTATAAATCACTTGATCTGAACAGGTGAAACGAGAGTGCTACCTTAGAGAAATATAATTATAGGGTCAAATTTCAAGATGCAAACTCAAGAAGAAAAGAGTGGAATTGGCAAGCAAACAAAGTTGTAATGAATAATCTTAATTGTACAGAAATGCAAGAAAATCAGGTTTTCATGATTTCAGAGAATAAGCTCATTGATTTAAAAGATCAAGGCATGATATAAGAAACAACAACATAATAGTTTTGTATACTTTTCTGCTGATTATAATCTTTCACATCTATTCATAAAGGCAAGTAAGATGGCTTTTATTCCTCACAAATCTATTAATATCAAATGGAAATGTAACCAAAATAAATATATGTTCAGAATATTACAATTTTTCATTAAAACAAATGTCACCAACCTTTACAGCAGATAATTTAGATTTAATTTATCTTTATTTTATGTATAGAATCCCATGCGGAAAATGAGTTTGTTTTCTAAAATGTCAAAACCAACTCATAACTTTAGTTCACTGTGAAAAGTTGAATGTTTGAGCAACTCCTGTTCACAACTGTACAAGCCTTAAGAAATGCCAAACAATCATGGCTGTAGACTGGAAGATGGATTTAACATTTAAACTCATTATGTTTGTTCATATTACTACTATAGGAATCTAGCATTTCACTACCTCTATTTCAGTACTTGGGGTTCACAATCACAATGTTATCTCCAAATTATCAAATGAACGATGACATTGTAAAGTGCTGTTTTAGATAATATTATCACTTGAAGTTGCATTTGTAAATAAATCATTATCATTCAGATGGAATGTTAGGAATTTTACTGAAAATATTTGCTGGAGTTGTCTATAATATAATTTTAAGAAATAGAAGAATGTTTCAGTATCTTAATATCAAAACATACCATACCATTAAATTAAGGAATGAATAATGATAGGCCATTCAATATGGTGAAATTCAGCATGAGTGTGGAATATCACCATATTGAATGGCCTATCATTATTTATTCCAATTCAAACATAAAAAAATGAGGAAAAGATTGTTTAACTTGTGATTCTTTCATCAAAAAAGTTGTCAGTGGCCATCAACAGACAGAGAAAATGACCTACATTGGTTGTTTTTAATTTTGGATTGATTTTTCATACATTCTGAATAAAATGAAGATAGTGGTTTAAGATGGATCAACTCTGGGTGAGAGGTTATCCAAGCTTTGAAATTAGAAAATAGCACATTTTATGGCTACTCACTTTTTCAGAAATTTCAAATATGGGATGGGATATCAGATTCTCTTTGAATTTAATCTTCAATTTTATTACATGTAGCCCTGTATATTAATGCACAAGTGAGTTTCTAGACTGAGCTTACTTTTCCCCTGGCCTATATTAATGCATTTAGAAAGGATTATGATGTTTCAAACCAAGGATCTTTATTTTCAAGACTAGATATTTTCAAATGCTTTGTGGTATTGCAGTCTAGACAAAAAGATTGATTATTTAATGTTAGGTCAAAAGGAGGTCATTCAATGTTTTTGTACAGTTTAATCTCGGATGTATCAATCACTCATTTAAAGGAATCACCATTGAGTAAATTCTTACACCAAAGATGCATTAGTATCCTCCAGTTCTTTTCACTACTTGAAAAGATATATCATGGATTAAAGTAGGCATTTTAAACATGGCAAAAAATGTTATAACTGTTAAAAATGCCAATGCTAAATGCTGGTCAAATATAACTATTTTCACCCTTCACATTCGTTTGAATTAGCTTGTCGAAAGAAGGACAACTTTCTATTTATGGTCATTTCCTCGAATTTATCTTAAATGAGTATTAATCAACATTATTTAAGGGTATTTCTTCTCGATATTAATTGGTTGGGCTCCAATGGCTACTGGCAGTAAGGGTGGGGCTGCTAAACTGTAAAATTTGTGTTACTTTTGCACAAACTCTCTGCTCAGGGTAAACTATTGTAGATGTTTTGTTAAACCCTTCAGCTCTGATTCTGCCTTTAAGCATTTGATGGAATTCATATAATAGGTTTACCTGAATTTGGAATGGGACAAACTTGGCAGAGGCCATCAGCACTGCCCCATCCTTTCCCAACAGAGTTGCAACAGCAGTCAACTAGGCTCACTTTGGTTGGGATGCGATTACGACACTCCCCTTGGACATACGTCTGGTAGCAATACTTCTTCACAGATCCTGAAATAACATGTATTACCATAACCCTTTTGATTGGAATAAGAACACCACAACAGAAGGACTCAAATAATATTAACTTGTAAATAGTAATCAGTAAAGCTGTATCAAACTAGATTTAGTATTCTGAATTTGTGCTCCTCAGGATTTTTATGCAAAATTATTTCATTTATTCTGACTTATAAATTTTTTTTTAAATTTCTTATATTTTCCAAAGGACGATTCTCGGTTTGGAGAACAGTCTCCTGGGCTAATAATTTTTTTCATGAAAAATATAGAAATATTACCCAAATTAAACTATGAATATTCAAAAGAGGACATTTAGATCTACAAGATGTAAAAATAACAAATTGGTCTGAAGCAGGGATAACGCTCAATTTGACCGATTTAATAAATTACAAGTCTCTATTTGGGGAAAGAAGTTCATCAGTGTACTGCGCGAATATTTTTTTGCGAAAAATCTAGAAATATTACCCAAATTAAATTATGACTATTCAAAAGAAGACATTCAAATCTATATTATTTTAAAAAATCACATTTGTCCGAAGCAGGGATAATGCTCATTTAGATTGATGAACTTCGTTCTCCAAACCGAGAATCGTCCTTTTCGATAGAAGGGTGTAAAATATCACGGATTCAGTTTCCTCATTTACAAATGGCCTTCATAAGACCCTATCAAGGAGAAAGAAGTTGTTTGTTTAACAGAACTTATCACTTTATTGACTCACATACATTTTTCCCAAGTCATTAGTAAATATTTGAACCAGATAGACATTGTATCAGCATAATGACTTGTTAGGAATGAACTGCATAATATCCAAACTCTGATAACTCCATGTAAAGAATACAGCAGAACTGGTCTGATTATCAAGAGTCAGAAATATGATCAACTCGTATCTCTATGTTTATGTGTAAACCATTAAATAGCTAGGAAGAAATTAACATAGAAATTCCAATAGCATTCTATCTCCATAATTGATAGATTAACCTCTACCTTCCCTGACAAAAAATAAACTTCTATCCTATACTAGATTGCAAGGGGGTAAATTGAAATAAGGCAGGTGAGTGACATCTCATAGATAACCTGTTTCAAATCTTGATCTACCTGGGGATTTCTGAAGGAATACAACTTTACAGTGAAAGATTTATCAGGACTTGTTTTAGGCGAAATTAAGAAAATTAAGTCGAATAATAGTATCATATATATATTTTATTGACTCTTTAGATGTCATATCATGACATATTAGTCACTAAGGTAGAGCAGTTCTTCCCATTGTCGAGTTGAAGAACTGGTATCTTTATCCTGGCTAGAACCATAGACAATTCTAGCCAGCGCCAGCCTTTTATCGAGTTAGCAGCACTCTAGTAATCGCCGGTATAGGTCAGCAGTCATAGGTTACATGTATATCCTCTTTACCTCACCTATTTAAAGAAATTAACCTCACCTATTTAAAGAAATTAACCTCACCTATTTAAAGAAATTAACCTCACCTATTTAGAGATCTTATCTAAGCCATATGGTAAAACATCAACTGTTTTAAACAATCATTTTGAGGATGGGAAAGTGAATCAACACAAAATATATAAAACTACTTATGTTTTCTATTGTTAAACTCAATTTATTCAATATAATATTTGAAAAATCTTGTTCTTATGAATATTAGAAATAAGAGACTTTTGCTTGAGACATGTTGTGATTTTTGGGTTCCCTATAAGATGCTTTGTGTCGTTTTCAAGACAGTTTTATGAAAGGGAATGCAATTAACTCTTTCATGACCCTAGAAGCTGAACTGATATTTGGCCATGAAATCAGCTGCTATTTATACTGTCAGAAAAAACATTATATCAGGGAACAAATAATCATTAAACGTAAATAGCAAAGATGGGGATAGTTGTTGAGTCCCCAGTGGGGATGGATTATACTTGAATGAGATAGCATAAATTGAATCTGAAAGCTCAGATCTCCCATATAACCTAACTTAGTTTGTCTAATTAATTCTATGAGATAAACTAATGATAATAATGTAATATTATGTAACAAACAATGTAACAATTGGACAGTTGCTGTACCTCTTAGCAAATCCCACTGATTTGTATGGCCTAATACATGTCTGATTTTCTCAAAATTGGAAATACAGATTATACCTAGAAAAAAGTAATCACTATACAAATCCATATTTGTTAATGTGAATATCATAAATCAATAGCTGGAAATATACTAGTCTATTGTTAAAAACATTCCTTCAAGATCGGGGAAACTATTAATAGTGGCTGTGGTAAGAAGACCTCCATGGGGTGACCAACAGAAGTGTGATCAGATTACCAAATATGAGACTTTCAAGTGACCACAACATGAAAAGTCACCTCTAATGATTCCTATGTTCTCCTACATAAGCATTCCAATCCCAGAGGTTCAGAGTGAAATTGTTATAATGACCTGAACCATCAAACACTGGGATATACAATGATAGTGACTGGGAACAGGGATTATTTGCTGACAAGGGTCTTGGACGGGGGGGGAGGGGCATAAGGGTCATGAACAGCTTACAAGGAGAATTTTTTCTATGTTAGAAAAGAACATTAACATATAAACACTGTTGCAGGAAGTTCTACTATAAGCTGATTATATACACCAAGTTATGAAGATGAAATTCCCCATCCATATCTTCATGATTGCACATGCATCTCGCATGCATCGCGCGATCTGATTGGTCTAATTGCGAAATAATGCGCTTCACTTCTATTTTACGAATTTTGCAATGGTCTTACATTTGCAGTATTATCTGGCCAGAATAGCAAGATTGAGGTATGAGGAAAATATCAATATTTTTTTCAGAAATTACTTGTGTGACAAGAAATTACTTGTGATCCTTGCATATAAATGATAGTCATTAGATTGATCAAGGGCTGGGAACATAGCATCATTGCACAGGGGTCATTCTGCAGGAATATAGCATCATTGCACAGAGTTCATTCTGCAGGAATATAGCATCATTGCAAAGAGTTCATTCTGCAAGGCTGTTCTGCAGGAATATAGCATCATTGCACAGGGGTGTCATTCTGCAGAGTGTTACTGACTTGACATTCCAGTATAAATTCCAGTATAACTTTAACACTGGTTTACATGCATGACTGCATGAATGCCATAAGACATTTCACAACACAATTTCATATATAATTCAGATGGCAGACTCAAGTAGTCTATAATTCATTTGCTGTAAACCTGTAAGAAGATAATCACAACTGGCAATATTTTTTCATAAAGGATTGGTATCAATATGGTGAAATTTTTGAACACACGTTTCTCTTAAACCAGTCAACTTCTGAAAATTCTACACATCTTCAATTTAATGGTCATCCTTTGAATGGTAACAATATAATTTGAAAAATATATATATACTTTTCTCTATATTGTTTTAGAAAACACATCAGACACTTCTTTTGTTCTTGGTATCATATGTTCGGAATGAGAAGAAACATCTATCCGAACTTCATTGGAACAAAACGACATAAACACAACGTGTTTAGGTCTCTCAATATTGTAACTGTACAAAGGAAAGTTTGGTTGATTTTAAAAAAGTATCTTGTTAATGAAATTAAAAAAAAGGTTTATCTTAATTTTTATCAATTTGGGGGGTAATATTGAGAGGCCTAAGAAAATGTTTTATATGCTATTTTGTTCCAACAAGATTTGAAGACATTTTATTTCATTCTCAAGAATTGGTAGAATGGAACAAAAAACAAATGCACTAAAAAACAAAAAATGTTAACAAAAACAGTTATATAAAATACATATAAATAATTTTTACATTAAATTGTTGTCAATCAGTAAACATTACATAAATGACCGTGTTTTTTTACAGAATGTTCAATAATTGGTTTAAGAGAAAAACATTGTTGAATTCAGTTAATCATATGGATACCTATCCTTTATTTCAAATCTTTCAAAATGAAAAATATACAAAGAAGAAATGATTGGTTAAAAAATAAATAAAAAAAAATAATGTGTATTTATAATATGGCCACATAATCAAAATATTAAATCTTGAAAAACAAAATAAAAACACAAAATGAAAATTAAGTAAGATGGAACTAAGTAAGTAAGTTGTAAAGCAATGCAACAATGGAATAATACAAATATATCTAGAGGGACTGAGGGGGCAGTTACTTTACCTGTCACTTTTCTGTTTTTCTTTTCAATTTTTTAGATATGATTAAGAAGAGTGGGGACAACAGACCCATTATATTTCGGCAATATCTGCAGTCCCAAATCGAACTGAGAGAGCAGAACAATCATACTTATATTAGCATTCAGGCATCAGTATTTCACTATCTCAACCATCACTGTTGTATCAATATTTATGTTTCACTTACCATACTTATGATAGCAAGTCTAAACAGCATTTCATATAAACATGTTTTTCTGCTACCTCTACTTATTCCTTAAAATGTTTCTGGAATTTTATGAATTTTGGGAGAATCTCAAAAACAATTGTAAGAAATACACTAAATCCAACTCAAGATATACCAAAGAGCATTTTTCATCAAGTATCAATGTGTCAGGTTTGCTGGTCCTGGCTCACAAGCATCTCCTTAAGGAGACAATGGGATATATATGTAGTTGATGTGTTCATGTCTCACATTTTTTAGATGTAAACTAGAGAAAAACAGCAACTCCAAGAGTAGCAAATTCCAACCAAACAAAACACATTTTATCAAATCGCTCATAATTTTTAACATGACATGATAGTTGAGTATGGAATTGTCTTCTTTTGTCAAAAGTTGCACCCATGATGTTATAAGATGCCACATTATCAATTCTTCTCAAAGAGAAGTCATTTGACCATGGGGCATTAGCCTACACAATTTGGACCAAATCTAATAACTTACCAGCATTTACACTATCTACATGTACAAAATCATATTTTCCTGGAAAATGGACAGCTTATCTATAACCCTAACAAACTTTTATGTGGTAGAATAACAATGAAGTAGTGGTTTTGGAATGTCATATTTGGCCTCCCTCTGATAAGGAGGAACATCCTTAAGGTAATAGGCCTAAAAACATATGTTTGAAATATGTGCTTATAAAAAATAAAAAATTGAAATTCAGTCCCTTGTAAAAAACACTAATCAATAACAGACAGAGGATAACCTAATTATATGAAGCAAGGTTTTCAAGGAGAATAATTCTGTGGTTGAAATATGTTATGAATAGATATATTCCATGTGATTCCTCTCTAGTTCTGTGTAACCTCCCCCCCCCTCCCTTCTCTCTCTCTCTCTCTCTCTCAAGCTAATTTTACACCACAGCAACAGGCCCATAGCCAGTTGGGTTTGGCAGTTTGACCCCCATCCCCACCTGTTGGCCAAAAATTCTTTCAAAATCAGTTTTTCAACATTCTGAACACTTTCAAGTGAGTTTGGCCAAGCCCCCCCCCCCTCCTTGGAATTTTTTGAAAAGTTAACCACCCTTGGCAAAAGCTAGCTGCCAGGTGGCAACATTGATACTGCAGTTAAGTTTTCTTGAGGTTGCTCCACAAAAAATACTTAAGAAAATCTCAATGAAAATCAAAAAATGTAAAAATAAAATTGTACATCAACTGTGTACTGTGATAAGCATAATTGGAAGCCTCTATTTGTTGTTTGAGTGTAAAGAGCAGCACAGTACAAGTGTGATCTTGTAGGTGTTTTTGAATTTTAGCTCTATTTGACTGCCTATTAGCCATATTAGACAGCCATAAAAATAGTCCTGTTTTATATTTAAGAAATCTTCAAAGCTTAGCATGATGGTTTTACTGATCTTTTAAAGTGATGGTATTTTCTAAGACATTTTCAAGACCATGACAACCCTCTGTTTCTATTCAATCTAATAATAGGTCGGAAACCATAACCATAAGAGATTTCTTTAAATAGTTCTTATGTTGAACTCATTCGATTTGTTTGTTTATTGTACAAGCTATCATGAACACTAGGTGATCATGAACCTTCATACACAGATATCATCTAATCTAAATCATTTCTTATGAATCATGGGGCAATGGCACCTCCATTCCACATACTACATAAAACAACATGTAAAACTATTTGCCACAAAAGACTCCATTAACTTCTGCTTAAAATATGCAGAAGAACGCTAATGTGTGACTTTAATGAAGTTTATGGATTATTTAAATCAATGTCAGTTTCTGGAATCTTTTACAAAGCCTGAAAAATTGAAACTGACTAATAACCAAAAAACTTGCAAAAACAAGTAATATGTCACTAAGGTATGGATTTTCCTTGAAAAGTACATTTTTTGAGCTGGATTCACTTATGTCTTAGTGGATATCTCTTGAGACAGCTTGGTATTTCCTCCAAATCTAAGTAGAGAAGTTAAGTTATTGTTAATATTCGCACACCATCTCAGATTTACTGCTTAGAGAATCAGCTGGTACTTTACTCCACCTTGATTTATTTCAGCATGGTTCTTACAGTCTTACATATGCTTACCCATTTCAGTGGAGATCCTCATCTACACTCTTTCAATAAGAGATAATCTCTTGGTCTAGACTTTCCCAATTAAAATTACCGTAATCACTGGATTCATAAATATATCCATTTTATCTTTAAGAAGGAACTTATTACAGCATTTGGGCCTGAGTATAACAAATTCTACACCATTAAATTACAAGGAGAATAAGATGCAGAGAGCAACATTTTCAAGATTTGAAACAGATTCTCTGATTACTAAAGGACTGTTCTACCTTAACCTCATTTTTTCACAATTTCCAATTATACAACAAGTCTTCTATGGTTCAAAAGTTAAAATGTTGCAGAGATCAATTTATCAAAAATCTTATTTGCACATGAGAATTTGAACCCAAAAAATCCAAGAGAGAATAATGTTGGATTGCAAATCCTATTTTTGCTAATCTGATAGAACAAAGTATATTAAGTAAAGCATTAGATTACCTATGCAGCTTTTCCTATCAGGGGCAAGTGTGAATTCTGGATCACATGTACAAAAGAAGCTGCCCTCCGTATTAGTGCAACGTCCATTCTCGCACACACCCGGTCCAGATAAACACTCATTAATATCTGAAAGAAAGAAATAGGGTTACACAATAATGAATCAATAAAACAGGAATAAAGTACAATAATATATTAGTTAGAATACAATGTAATAAGTTTCAAAAATTAGTTACATGGCAAAGCCCTACAGAGTAGGGTGGAAATACAATAATGTATTCATGAATATAATAACATGATAACATCAGAAATTATGAAAGAAGCCCTAAAACATAATACTTAGCCATCAAAAGAGACAAAATGTGCCTATTTTTCAACATGAAATTAAAACCATAGGTGAAGAACATATAACCAAAATAACAACTCAATATAACTGACTCAACAAGTCAATATAATTTTGAAATATCTTATTTTAAAATCTTTTATACAAAGTAAAACATCAAAGTTTCATGAGGTATACAGCTATGAGAAATGTGACAAGAAAATTACTATATATGAATGTAATGTTTACTTTCGAATGATCATAAATAATCAAAATTATTTCTGCAACATGTCTTTGTGAATGGGCGTAGAATATGTATCATATAACACACATATTTCATCATAATCCCATGTTAGATGTCTTTGAGTCCAGCCCAGTTCAATTTACTCAATAGATAAAATTTGTTATCATATTCATAGCTATGCTTAATAACAAAATATATATAGAGTGGCTTGCTTATTCTTCCCCTCCCTCTCCCGTCCTACCAATAAATGGCTAACAATCATAGCATATATCTATATGTTCTGATTAATTTTCAGATGATGTAGCTGGACATGAATAAACAAGAACACAAATGTGTACAAAATGTCCCCACCAATAGGTGATCCTGTCAAATGGTTATCCTAAAAATGAGTAGACACAACCGACACAATTTGAGGACGGGAAATCTAAAATGGCCACCTTAAAATTTACCCAGAATGCCATAAAATTAGTCAGTTCTAGATTTCCATACTAAGAACCACTCCTGAAATTGATCCGTCAAACAGATAACCAGAAAACGTGTAAGCAAGACTTTACAGACAAGATTTTAGGATGGAAAATCCAAAATGGCTGCCTTAACATTTACCCAGAATGTCAAAAAACTAATCAGTTCTAGATTTTCATACTAAGAATCATCCCTGAAAATTTGAAATTGATCTACCAAACGGTTCATCTGAAAACGTGTAGACAAGACTTTACTGACAAGATTTTAAGACGGAAAATCCAAAATGGCTGCCTTGACATTTACCCAGAATGCCAAAAAACTAATCAGATCTAGATTTTCGTATTAAGAATCATCCGTGAAAATTTGAAATTGATCTACCAAACGGTTCACCTGAAAACGTGTAGACAAGACTTTACAAACAAGATTTTAGGACGGAAAAATCCAAAATGGCCGACAATAAAAAAGTGATTATGAGTTTTTGCTGATTTCTTTTTAGAAAATTATCACATATAACTACGTTATCAATAACATAAGCTTTTACAACAAAGTACACCTGAAACTATTTATAAAACTACTAAATAGTTATGAAAACTCAAAAACACCATTCAATATGATACAAAGTATTATCGCACGATAACTTTTCTTAAGACATTAAAAATGGCTGCCATGACTGAGGTAACAGGTCCAAAACCTACTCAGATGTAGAATGAAGTGAGCTGAACAAGATGTTAAAGTTTTAAAAGCAACTATGAAGCCGTTTTTCAGTTTGCAGACAAGGATTTTAGCATTTGACTTCAAAATGGCCGACAAGAAGTAGGTATCAAGTTAAAAACTTTTCATCCACATCTGTATGTACTCATAAGTTATCCCTGAAAATTTGAAGGTGATATCTGTAGGGGTTTTGGAGAAAACTGCCGGATGTACGGACGGACGGACAGACAGACAGATGGACGGATGGACGCGCCTAGGCCGACAATATGGCCCCACACTATGTGGTGGGGACATAACAAAAGGAGATCATGGTCTCGAACATATGACCTTTGGTTAAGACACAGCACCTAGCTTGGCTTGTTCATCCCTCAGTCAACTCAACAAGCCCCAAAAAGGTTGTTTCATCAGCCAATCTGACTAGAGGGAACAGGTGTTAACGCTCAAACCCACCAGAGGTAACATTCATACACACATTCACACACACAATTAGCTCTGACTGTCCTTAAGACAGAAACAATATACTCTGACTTTTTTTGGGTTCCTGTAATATATCATATATATGTATTCCATTGAAAATACCTCATATTTTACTCAGTCCTCCCCCAACCATTGAACTAGTACCTTTCTGAAGAAGTAAATTTGTTCTAATATTATACTCTATTCAAGTCACATATGCATCAAAAGAAATGTTGGAATTCCTTTAAGATGTAAAATCAACCAGAGGAGGCCAAGCAAAGGTCTAGAGATATATTTCTCAATGCAAGGTCATCATGTCTTAAGGAGTCACAAAAAATGTCAAAAATCATGGTGGGTTTTATGTATTTTTAGACATCAAAAACATATGGTTAGAAAAAGAAAGAAGACTAGAGTGCATAACTGTGGCTCTATGAATTTTTTAGAGCAACATCTGTTCTAAAGTTAATTTAAGTCAACTTCATCCTTTTATACATTCCAGTTTTCTGTATTGAAAAAATGCAGAATCATATTATACATAGTATACATAGTAATTTATAAGCCTATTTTGCGATATTGGTTCTACTTTTCCAGTGAGCATTTGAGACGAACCCTTCATCTGATGTGTAAGCTGGAATAAATGTGAAATAGTTTTCAGGAACTCTTACAAATTTCAAGATAAATTACAAATTCATTAATAATTTTGAACATTTTCAGAAATTCTTCAGTTAGATAGAGACAAATAGTTTTTGCTCTAACGATTCCTATTTTCTAAAAAAAACTAGTAGATCTGCCTTTTTGAAGGATAATACTTTTAAAACTTTTAAGGTCATCTTGAATTGATTGAAAAAATTATATTTTTCAATTCTAATCAATTTAATACTTTCCCTCGCATGTCCAAAGTCAAAAAATAAAACTAGGATTGCATGGAAACATTGAAATGATTGCATCTTATATTTTTCACTCGCTATCCCTTCTTTTTTAAAGAAGTGAAATCTATTGAAAAAGACACTGCCTTACACAAGATAAGGCTCAAATATTTGATATCTCTTTAAATTCCCTCATTTAGCATGTGTTTTCCAGAAGCTATCAGACTGAGAATATCATTTTTTCATGTGTTTATCAGTAAAGCAATTTCAATGAGGTTTTTTGTCAGGCAGTTATTTGACTACGCCTATGTCTTGGAATTATAGAAGAACAGAGAACAGATTTTACAGAGTTAAAGCTAACAGTTACCAAGTTCTTTCATAAAAACCGATGAAAATAAAAAAATAAGACATGAACAAATTGGGAATAACACAAAAATTAAAATTGTAAATCAGGAAGATTTTCTTAATACTGAATATAAATGAGCAGAATTCTGAAAATTCCAATATTTTTTGAGAGAGTCTGTTTATATGAATGAAACCAAATAGTTGGCAACTTGGCATTTTTCACTTTCTCAAACTACTAACTACTAAGACTGTGTACATATTAGGGATTGCATCAAACATCACAACCAGACACAAATTTAAATTCATTTTGGGATGGGAGGTTGAAAAAGTGACTTGAAAGGTTACATGCGCAAAAAACACAATAAGCTTTTATATTAATATGAAATGCAGGTTATAGCGACTCAATAGTCGAATTATCCATTTAAGCTGGCTTATAAGGCACTCTGAATGATGTTAATGTGTTACTGTGACAATGTATGGAACTTCTATAAATAAATATCTGTTAATAAAAACTGCTGACTTAAAAGTTTCTCCCATACCCTCAATTTCCCCAAAAAACATTGATCCATGGGGTGAGAACTACAGGTGGGGGAAATGAAAATCACAAGCCTGGTGGCAGATAGATAAAACAGGAAATAACAAACAAAAATGAAAAATTTGCAAACCTTCGCATCCATTGGTCAATGGGTTCCTAGTCTGCCCCTCCTTGCACTCACATCGATATGAACCTACTGTGTTAACGCATGTACCCCCAACACAGAGCCCAGGGATAGCTACACACTCATCAATATCTGCAATACAATGATCACTAATCAATATCTGTTATACAATAAACAGTTATCAACACAAGTTTAAGCCAATGATGTAACAGAATTGAGAATTACTATCTAAGGCAAGATTTCATTGGGAATGTGCTTTCTTGACAAATTTCTTACCTTGGCAGTTCTGGTTTCTTACATTGGCAATGTATCCACGGCGACAGGGAGATGGTTTCTGACAACGTTCACAAGGACGTCCCCAGGCTTGACCAATAGTAGCACAGCAAAGAGTTTTCGTACAGACAACACCAGTCAGCTGGCCACGACACATGTTGTTTGAGACTTGGGTATAGCATGGTCCCACACGGTAATCTGGAATCAAAATGATTAATACTTCATCATAAATTGCAATATTTTTGGATAATTAAATCAAATGATCCCTTGATTTACTTTACTACTTAAAGTACGGTATTATAATATAATAAAAAGTTAGTCTGACATCCTTATCTCAACCACTTTAAGTTAGATGTGACAGTCACCACATTTTCTCCTTAAGGAGATGCCTCTATGGACCATTCAGGTTTTGTATAATAATTGAAACACATGTTGATGAATTACTATAATACATGTAAATTAGAAACTGATGAATTATCACAATAAATTAGATACCATTTTGAAGAATTACCACAATAAACTAGAAGCCATGTTGATTAATTACCACATTAAATTAGAATCCATGATAATAATTACCACAATAAATAAGAAACCATGTTGAAGAATTACCACAATAAATTAGAATCCATGATAATAATTACCACAATAAACTAGAAGCCATGTTGATTAATTACCACATTAAATTAGAATCCATGATAATAATTACCACAATAAATTAGAATCCATGATAATAATAACCACAATAAATAAGAAACCATGTTGAAGAATTACCACAATAAACTAAAAGCCATGTTGATTAATTACCACATTAAATTAGAATCCATGATAATAATTATCACAATAAATAAATAAATTAGAAGCCATGTTGAAAAACATATGAACCAAGGTAACTCAGGGATGGTGTGGTATTTGATTTTGATATGATGAAAGACTGATTCTTTTGTTTGACTGATTAATGAAACTAATCGGTGTGATGATTTCTCCAACAAATACCCAAAGGATGTCACAAATAATTCACATATTTTACTGAATATTTGATATTCTTCTTGCCTTTCATAATAATAAGATGTGGTCTTCATAGTTATTTTCACATAAACATCCTATTTATTTGCAAATTTTCAAACAAAATATCTTTAAACAAAGTTTCTATATGCATAAAATCAACATGGATCAATCCCATGATACCAAGCAAAAAGATGAGAGAAAAACAAGAGATTTTTTGTATGGGTTGGTATTTACTTCAAGTTCATTTCTATTTATCTTGCTTCTAACAAATCTCAGTTCATCAGTGTATTTACCAGAGGTTAAAGCTGATAATTAATCTCCTTTCTGGGGGCCAACCCAGGTAAGGATGCCCTTGACACAAAAGGGGTGGGAAATACCAACAAATAATCACTCTATACAACCCTTCAGCAAAAATGTTTAGTGCATATTAATATATCAAAAACTTACTTATAAACGATTGTAGTTGACACAAATTGATATATACGTACATTGTATTTGCCAAAAGATAATAATTGTGATACTTCATGTTTTAAAATAAATATGCTGCATAAACAAATCAAGTCTGTAGCAAGTAGTTTTTTAGTTTACAGAGAGCACATGTTTATATGTAACTAATGGTAAATAGATTCCAGTGCTATCAGTGATAAAAAGGTATCACTGTGACTAGTAACAGGTCTTACTTGACAATAACCATGTACTGTATGCTCACATATCTTTCCTATATACTCTACAAGTTAGTATCTCAATTAATCAACTTCATACATAAGCATTCTAGTTTTTCAGACACCAAGTCATTGTAACTTTGTTTTAGCATTTAATTGTAATGCTTTTCACAGTAAGAAAATGAGTAAAATGGAGTTGCAAACATTGAAAGGTTTGGAAGCTCATACTATTTTTCAAACAATCATGCAGTTTTTCACCTTGAGAGAAAATCAGAGAAAATGTAATCTGACCACAAAAAGATGAAAGCTTTGATGGGATGGTGAGTATAGTGTGTTTACAAGTGTCAGTATGACATTTTAAAGGTGTCTTCTGACATAACAAGAAACATTACAGACAGGTAATGCAATGTGTTTAAAAGTGAAATTTGTTGATATTCTTGTGCTTGCTCTTAGACCTTTCTCTTTTTGTAATACTCTTTGATTTTTCCCCTTTTCGCACTTGTGCTTACATGTTTTTCAAACTAATGTTCTTGTACATACATGTATGTACTATCAGGAAAGAATTGTGCTCTACTGCACCCTAACACCCTAACAGCACCCTAAAAATGAATTGACAAACGAAATGTAGAACAATGTTGGTTAGAACAATGTTGGTTACAAGTTTGCTGTAGTCCCTCATCCACCCCCTCCACCCCCTGGTATCTACAGTAAAACTCGTCTAATCTGAACACCTCTGGGACCAGCCAAAAGTGTTTGGATAAGAAGGTGTTCACATGTTAAGGTTTTTCAACATATAGGTCAATGAGAGGCTGAGAAAAAGTGTTCCTAATGAGAGGTGTATTTCAGGAGGTGAGGTATGTAGGGTGTTTATACCTTGATTAACCAGACCTAGGGCAGCTCTATTACTATCATAACTGGTAAGTTCAAGGAAAAAATGGGTGTAGCTTACCATGACATGTCATGTCACTTAAAGTAGCCAAATCAACATATATCACACTGTCTGCCACAAAACAATTCGTGATTTCTTCATTTTTCGATATTTTCTTTCATTTTAAAGTGAATGCCACTTGATGGGGGTTACCCCTTAATAAAATCAACTCCATACTGTGTATGATGCCATTTGGTATGTAGCTAATATAACTGTGTGACATTTCTTTAAAAGATATAAGATAATAGATTCACACTGAGGTTATAATATAAATGCTAAAACATTTATACAACTATCTTGTCAAAAGTGCATTTACAAATATGCATCACTTGGATGACTAAATATAAGCCAAATAGAAGCGAGATAAACGTCAACAAAGAATTCATAGACAGTTTAAATTGGCTAATTTATTTATCATAAACTCACACAAACATTGGATAAGAATGTCTACACCCGGAGAAAACACTTATTTGAGAAAATAGTTTGTACTTGAACATTTTTTAATAATGATAACACTCAAATTTACTCATTTAAGTGAGATCCTAAGTTACTGATATATAATTAAGACGTCAGTAAAGTGCAATCATAGCACATAAAACTACAAATCTAAAGTATATGAGTAGTTACTTTTATGTATAACAACAAGAAGGGGTAAAAAGACCTTTCTCTCAACTACAACTTAGAACTAATAACAAAAATAGATTGATAGCAGTTAGAGATTAAATATTTTGTATGTCATTTCAATATTGTTGGATTGATAGAGCAACTGCAAGTCAAATTCAATATAAAGGGCATATAAATATTTGTTAAAAACATACAAAGTTGTCAAATTATGACTTCAAACTGCCTCCACAGTTCTAAAGCCAAGAGTAATTAATACATTGAAATGATGAATGCATGACAAAGAACCTGTATTGATACTGCTTGCCATAAATCTAAAGATCCTAGAGCGAGAAAAGGTAGATAACGATAGATGGATAAATTACTTTCTTTCCATATAATACCTCTTAAAAACATCTGATAAATGATACCATGTTACACATATATCCCCTAGACAAGTTAACTACAAATATGAACGATTGGAATTTCCTTACTATTTTTTATGTATGTTAAAGCGAGACTAAAAAGCCAGGTAATGAATAGGATGGAATAAATCGTACAAATGTTCAGTAAAAGAAATGCAAAAATGACTTATATGTTTTTCTATGTTGTCAGGTTAGCACTCAAATACCCAGGTGTATTCTGTACCCCAGGAATAAAAGCAAAATATACAGGAATCCTTGCCAAGTATGAATATGAGCAGAATATAATGCAAGTGAGTGATAAGTCTGTTTTGTACATATACTTAATAAGATGTTTTGGAAAATCAGGAAAATGGGTATTATGGGCAAAAGAGTTTAATGAATATGAAATCAGTGCATTAAAATATTTAGCCTGGGATTGTTGTTGGTTCACATTTTTGTATTTTGTAATACATATTTTGATGAAAAGCACCTGTTTTATGATACTCCCCTTATTCCCATCAGAAAAACAGGAGGTAAAAACATTTAAGTAATTGACCAGTCAGGACATCTTTCACAATTTGTCAAATCTTGAAATTCCTAATTGTCATAATAAAGGACATGCCCTTAAATAGGTAACTCCCTACACAAACCCTTGATCGGGACAATAACTCCAACACTATCCCTATTATTATTGATTTGTAGATAAGCAACAAGAAACTTGACATTTTCAGATTCAAAGAGACAAATTCTAATTTGTTAATCTTACAATATTACCTAACATTAAAATTATAACATAATAGGATTCACTTGTACTGGTGCCCCTGGGCCAAATGTACATCCAACAATAAAATTTTATAATTACAGTAAAAAATAGTAGTAAAGAAAATAAACAACATTCTTCAAATCACAGATAAATAAATATTATTTTGATATAACGATCCTGTCTCTGAAGATCATTAGGTCATTACTTCACATTTTTGAATTTTTAATGTGAGGTTGTCTGATGTGATCTAATTGTTTACAGTTGAATATAAAATGTGTTTCATCTTCAATTATCAGATCCTTGCATACTTTTCAAAATCACTAATTTAAATCAGTAATAGGTCTCGTTTATCAACCCCTCTGTATGTCAAGATTATGCGTGCTTATCCGTAACCTAGTGAGGTGTTTAGAATTAGAAGAGGTGATTTCTGAAAGGTATTGTTCGTATCCAAAGTGTGTTTTTAGTCATGTTGGAGATAAGAAGGGCAAATCTCACCTCAGGAGATGGTCATCATGAAATGTTATCAATCAAGTTAATTGAAATGCATTAATGTTAAATAGAATTCCATTAAACAAATTCAATGACTGAGTGAGGATTTTGGACCATAATTTGTCCAAATGGCCATGTTCAACTAATCAATGGTGCTAGTAATATCTTATGGTATAGAACCCAAATTAGTACTATATCTTGTTAAGTACTACATCTTGTGAAGTACTATATCTTGTTAAGTACTATATCTTGTGAAGTACTTCATCTCGTTAACTACTGCATTTTGTAAAGCATAACATCCTACTTACAATGTTTGAGCACATTTTACAAATAGCTAAATTATCATGTTGCAGATCATGTACTTTTTATTTTTAACTGAAATTCATTTAAAAAGTATGACGCCAAGAAACAAATGATATATGTTTTTAAAGTTCAAATAAGGTAAAATAATGACCTCATATTAACAAAAAGAAACCGATCTATCACAATAGGATGTAAAATACATGTGAATTGAAACCATTTTTACATTTAACATACTTTGGTTATTGAACATATTTTTGCGAAGAACGTCTGCGTCATAGTCAACGTCTGAGTTTTCAAGTCAGTTCACTCGCTAACTAATTAGTTCCAATATGGAGTTTTAACTTGGATGACTTTCATAATATGAAATTAGCAAACATAAAATTATTATCTTTCTTTGAAGGATATTGACATTTTTATACAGTTCACAAACATTTAACAAGTTTCACAAAAGCTATCACATTAGAAATTCCTGTTTGATGGATTGATAAAGAAAAAGGTTGATTAATTGTCAATCCACACTAAAACAACCTTAGGGTAAAGAAGTGTTTTGTAATAGAAAAATCAAGTTAAACAGGTGCAGTCTATCATAATCACAGCCTTAAGAAATAATTCTATTGGTCAAATCAACGTTTCACTAATTGTCCATTCTTGGTATATATTAGGTGTATACAAGGACAGAATGCTTTTTATTAGTTGATACAATCATGGGCTTTCAATTAGGGTTATCTAAATAAGGTAACATAAACCTCCAGGCAGAAATGAACAAATATTAACGCTTCTGGTGACCTTGAGCTATGACCTTGACCTTCCATGACCTTAATAGTGTTGATTTATGGCTAAATCAGGATTTACACTTATGGAACAACGTCTATGCCTTGAACTATGATCACCACACCCATCTCAAAGAGTAGCAGACATATTTTCTCACAGACATTTTTCTCAGCTTTGGATTACAAGATTTTCATTGCAGCAGGTTCATGTTATTTATCAAAACTACATGTACAAGGTGTTCATTGTTAGTAATATAAATTATGATAATGTTTTGGTTGATCAAAATATATATTGTCTTATTTTGTTATTCAATACAGTACTATGAATATTTCAAAGATAACATAATATTTTTGTACAAAATCTAGTTTTTCAACATTTTTTATTCTTGTAAAAAGTGGTTTATGATGTCAGTTGTGTATTATTTCTGGGACAGTAATAGAAATTTATGAATTTTGAGGTTATGCCCCCCTCCAGGACACTCTACTAAATTGATATGTATTTTCATTACAGGCACATCTGCTATGTAATTAAATTGAAAATGTGAGGTATTTTAAAAAAAATAATCATTTGCTCCTATTTTCAAACCTTGAAAGCCATATGAAAGATTCCCTCTATTTCCAGCTACTGAAATTTTGTTTTTAGCATATTAAACTGCCCTGTTTGTTTTACTAGATGGGGCTAGATTCAAATTGGGACCAGTGTGGTCACAAATACAAAATTGTAGGGATTGTCCAATATATAAATAAATAAACAAAAGATCAGGAAGAGAACATTGCAGAAGTTTCATTGTCAATGATTTCTTGTTTAAAAAGATTTTACAAACAGTGTGAGCTACCAGAAAACAAAACAAAAGAAAGTAACCCTGTTGAGTAACCCTGTTCAAGCAAAACAAAAAATAGAACTTGACTTACAACATGTCAAAATTAGGTTCCCTAATATATATATGAAGTACTTGGTCAGGATTTTTTCAACCTCAGGTAAGGAAACATTATTAATGTGTAGTGAGATCTGTCTTCTACAAAAGGCCAACTGGGACTGGCCAAAGGTGTTGGGAATAACAGGTATTCATATTTCAAGGTGTCTTGAACAAGAGAATCAATGTAAGGCTGACTTCAAGAGAGTGTTCATATTGAGAGGTGGTTTGATTACACAGCTGTTCAAACTTATTTGTTTACTGTACCATAACATTTTGATGAATAACTGCTATTGGTCTAATTTCTAAAATAGATGAATATTGCTTTTATCATGATGATTAGAATTAGAAATACAGTGTACGAAATACAATTGTGAACATGCACTTTAACATGTTTTACTAATTCATTCATGTACTTGTTAGTCAGAAAAACAAAACTTAATAATTTTCCAAATTTTGATAATAAATTGGGCCTACATGTAAGGGTCCATGTATAGTTAAAATTACTCTAAATATGAAGTGCAGTTGATCTTTCTAAATTAATGGTGTACAGTACTGTATTACCCAACCACTTGATCAACAACAGTGCATCAACTGAATTTGAACCCGGAAAATCTTAACTTCCCTCATTAAAAAAATCCTGAAATGATAGATAATACATGAAAAATAGATGCAAATAAAACCTAGAAAAATGAAAGAACATCAATTACAATTTGTACGCATAATCGGAGACATGTGTTTTGCCAAAAAATAGTTTGAGCTATTGACTAGGAAGTTGGGAATGAGTGAAAATGCACACAAAACTTGAAATTTCTGAACAGGGTACCTCTTCAGAATGAAATGAAAGTAAGTGGTTACATAACCTGCCTAGAAGAATTCTAACCAGATACCAACATAGCTAGAAACCTGACATCTCAGATTGTTTAATTACTTTGAAACTAAGAGGGTAGATTCTGGGGGGTCCAAGCATAGGCTGCAAGTTACAAATCACAGTGAAGTGAAGAGAGAATTGAACTATTTCAAATCATAAACCTGAAGACAGATAAATCCCCTCTCAAAGGGATCATGTCCAAGATTAAATGTTACCATGAAGTTCAAATGGGAGGTAGGGACAAAAAAATTTAAAGCAAATGCATGACATATACCCAATTCGCGTGAAAAATCCGAACAAACAGGGTTCGTTTTTTTTTCGGTGTAAACTATTTATGTTGCGGCATTCCTTTTTTTTCTTCTCAGGAAATAATTTTCCTTGACAATAATCAGAAAAAATGTGTATTTGCATTAAATTTTCAAATTTGGTAAATACTTTTTTCAACCCAATTCTACGTGTAATTTTATATGTAGACTTCAAATATGATATTCTTTGTAGTAAATTCTAAATATTTAATGAAGTAAACTAAGGATTATTTCTACTTGTATCTAGTCTATTCTTCATATTTTAGGAAAAATCTCACAATCTTAAATCAAATCTACACATTAAGATCCACTTTCAAGAATTGAACTTATGGAAAATTTCTTCACCTCTATATGAATAAGGGAAAATAGGATAGGTGTGAATCAAAGTTAGTCCCTGTGCTATAGTCCCTGTGTTATAGTCCCTGTGCTATAGTCCCTGTGTTATAGTCCTTATGCTATAGTCCCTAGGTGTGCCTAGTGAGCAGTTAACACCCTGCAAGTACAGGGTTCTTATGTGTGGAGATTCTGGTGACTACACATTAAATTAATAAACTAGCTCACCTGTTTCACATGTTCTCCCCGTAAATCCATAAGGACAAGCACATCTACTGGGTGCTATACATCTTCCTCCATTTGAGCAACCTTCTTGGCAAGTGGCTAAAAAGTAAGAATTCCTCAAAATTATTTCTCTACAAAAATGTCGATAATGATAGGCAATTCAATATGCTGAGATTCAGCAGAGTTGGACAAGAATGGTAGGTGAGTGCATTTTTACTGAAATTCTGTCCAACAAGTGCAGAATTTCACCATATTGAATGGCCTATTATTATTACTTATTCCAAATCAAACGTAAATGAAGGAAACATTGTTAAAATAATGATAGGGATAGAGGTCCATGAAAGAACCAAATTACTAGTTTTCATTCTCCCTAATATAAAATGCCAGGAAACAGGGGTTGTCCCAGGGAGAGGATGTTTCCTTTATCAAAAAAAATTCTATCTTAGGGACCAGCTCAATATATTATCAATATATTAATGTTTTCCCTAATTTTTTCAATCGGAAAGTAGCTTCCTTTATAGAATGACAGATAGTAATAAAAAGTAACAGACATTGCTTCCCTCCCATGAACATAATATTGATCATTTTTCTTGGAATATAATGATACACACCCCCCCCCCCCACCCCCGGCCAAAAATTCTTTCAAATTCATGTAGTTTTCACTATTCTGAGCACTTCAAATGATTTTGGGCCAATGTTAAATGTGAACCCTCCTTTAAAATTTCTTGAAAAGCGAACCCCTTGGCAAAATCTAGCAACGGGCCTGATATGTATATACATGTATATTCTTTATCAAGTTACATACCTTCCCCACAGAAAGCTCCACCATAACCTGGACGGCAGGTACACTGAGTTCCCCCACATACTCCTCCATTCAAACATCTTACTGGACACTGAGACTCTGAAAAACATTAAGGTAATCAAGTTAATGGACAAGCAAAAGGTATTAGGAATGCTAAAATTTTGTAGTCACCACTCTATATTACTATTTTGGAAATGAGAAATCCTAGGATCTTGAATGGAAGTGACTGGCTATGGTCATTAGATCAGTGTAGTTTCAAAAGAGTACAAATACCAGTAACTCTGTAAGGAATGTTTGGCTATAACCCAGATTTGACCAAAGTCATAAACTATAGATCACCCAGATCTGACCAAAGCCTAAACAGTAGATCACCCAGATCTAACCAAAGTCATAAACTATAGATCACCCAGATCTAACCAAAGTCATAAACTATAGATCACCCAGATCTGACCAAAGTCATAAACTATAGATCACCCAGATCTAACCAAAGTCATAAACTATAGATCACCCAGATCTGACCAAAGTCATAAACAGTAGATCACCCAGATCTGACCAAAGTCATGAACAGTAGTTCACCCTGATCTAACCAAAGTCATAAACTATAGATCACCCAGATCTAACCAAAGTCATAAACTATAGATCACCCAGATCTAACCAAAGTCATAAACTATAGATCACCCAGATCTGACCAAAGTCATGAAAAGTAGATCACCCAGATCTGACCAAAGTCATGAACAGTAGTTCACCCTGATCTAACCAAAGTCATAAACTATAGATCACCCAGATCTAACCAAAGTCATAAACTATAGATCACCCAGATCTAACCAAAGTCATAAACTATAGATCACCCAGATCTGACCAAAGTCATGAAAAGTAGTTCACCCTGATTTGACCAAAGTCATAAAGAATAGCTCACCCGGATCTAACCAAAGTCATAAGCAGTAGATCACCCAGATTTGACCAAAGTCATAAACAGTAGTTCACCCTGATTTGACCAAAGTCATAAACAGTAGATCACTCAGATCTGACCAAAGTCAAGGCAGTATATCACCCAGATCATTTCACCAAAGTCATGAGCAATAGCTCACCCTGATCTGACCAAAGTTATAACAGTAGATCACCCAGATATGATTGAAGTCATAAACAAGGGGTCGCCCCATTGGTTTGAATCCCAATGGTCCGAATCCTAATCATCCAAATCCCAATGATCCGAATCCCAATGGTCCAAATCTAAATTGTCTGAATCCAATTCATCTGAACCTCAATGGATTCCGAGTATAGGACGTTCATGGCTTTTTCAGTAACTTCTTATGAGATCATAAGACTTCCAACAAATTTCATGCAGACTCACGATTGACATTGTCATTGCATGTGCTGGTTCATTTTCTCTGCTAATAAGCAGCTTCTCAGTGAAAAAATACAGGGTGAGCCAAAAAACAAGTGTTAATAACTCTGTCTTCCAACATGGATTTCAAATCATATTTTGCACAATTAAACCTTGTTCAATGTTTTTTCACTCTACTAAATTTCATTGGTCTAGTTTAAATGGTCACGGTTTTATGGCCATTTTACAAAAAAATGCTTTAAATACCAAAAAAATCACCTGATATGAATCCCCAATCTTTTATCATTGGAGCTATTTCAAAGATATTGTCCACACTAACTCCAGAAGCATAGGCATAGTGAGAGGGATTTTGTGGGGTTCCTGCAAAACCCCATTCGACTCAAATCCCCTTTTGTTATAAAACGAACCTCCAGCAGGGAACAACTCCCTTTTCTGATAGATCAACAAATCAAGGCCAGGAATGAACCCCACTCTAAAAAATATTACTATTTTTGCGCAAACAATGAATCACTCACTTACATACCATACCACACTTGTATATCACTGTACTAGCTATTTGATATAATACGTGTACTATTTTCTGTAATTTGATTGGTTTGTCGAAACCATTTCTGTCGTGTGAACCCCCCCCCCCCCCTGCCCCCTTTGCCTTGAACTTCTTTATAAATTAGTTAATCCTGGCTACACTATCTACGTTGGAGAAAGTACTAAACATTGCACACTAAAATGACCTACCTCAATACATTCCTGAGTATATTTGGATTTTTTTATGTAGTGGAATCCCCAATTATATGTATTTATCAGCAGAACGAGAAGATTTTCGTTTTACATCGGAAATCTCTCAGCACTTGTCAAGATGGAGAAAGGGGAACCCCATTAATTTGCAAAGCCTGGATGTACCAACAGATCGAGGAATTTAGCGATCAAAAATGAAAATTTCCTCGTTCTGCCGATTAACCCACACAAATTCAAATTAACGGTCGAAGTTAGGACCGCGTGATACAATTGGGGATTCAATAGCCTTGCCAAAGTCGGTATTTTTTTACTTATCTGATCTTGAATTATTACTAGAAATCAAAATAAGTAAAAGAGACCAACTTGGGCAAGGCTAGGGATTCAACTACATAATAAGAATCCAAATATACTCAGGAATGTATTGAGGTAGGTCATTTAAGTGTGCAATGCGTAGTACTTTCTCCAATGTTGGAGAAACACTGCCTTCAAACAATCATTGGAGCGTATGACCACAACGTAAGTGGGCTTATGTGATATATACATTTTGAAAAGTTTTTTCGGCGTTCAGTTTTGTATCGGCGATCAATTTTTATGAATTTTTTCTACAGGAATATTTTTGCTTGACAATAATCAGGTAAAATGCGTATTTGCGTGACATATTCTGTCTGTCATGCAAAAAACTGGCGTGACTTCAAATTTTCCAGCAAATGCGTGACAAAACATTGCAGTGACAAAGAATTGAAGTGACAAATATGCAAATTGCGGGACAATTGGATGACCTGAAATTAATCTATGAAATCCCATGGCAAATCCAATCTTGAGGTCAAGAAAAAATATAGTTTATTGTCTAAATTGAATTGTGGTCAGGCTAGGCCCCCTCGACTCGGCTATTTTTGACATTGAGAAACTTTGAGTTTGAAAATAAAATAAAAAAGGAATGATATATGAGCCCACAATATTCTAAAATTGAAACTATTTTTGTCAAGAGTATTCAGGATCTTGCTTAATCTGATTCTACTTTGAAACCATGTTCTATTTTATGTCTAACTGTTTTAAAAAGAGAAAACTTGACGGGGTCAACCCAGTTGTCCGAAACCCAGTTGTCCGAAACCCAGTTGTCCGAAACCCACTTCTCCGAAACCCAGTTCTCCGAAAATTAAAAAATTTAATTTTCTTAGTAACGAATCTTGTCGCAACCTCGCGAATCAGGACAGCATAACATTGGTATCACGTTGACATCGGTTAGCCCGGTCAATAATGGGTCCGAAAGTTCACGATCATATATATATTCTTACTAGATTCTCGGCACATAGACTTATATCCAGGACATCCTACAAATTTTGAACCGCATTGTCCAGCACGAATCGCACTCCTTCTTGGTGGAAATTCAAGACTGCCGCCAACATTTTAGACAATTATCACAGTCGAAGAGAATATTCTGGCGAAAGGAATATCTATCTCATTAGAATAACGTATGGACGTCCGTGACAATTATATAATATTCATTTGATAATTGTTTTCATTCCCTTTTCTCAATAAAATAAGGTTAATTATGTTTGGAATTCCGATAGACAAAATATTTCATGGGCATATATGTTCAACTGATGGCTAAAAATTGTATAAAAATATGATTTTGCTGTGGAGATATCGCGGTTTTAAAAGTAGGCTAACTACGCATGTAAAAATGCAGTAAAATGCCGTGGTGTACAGTATCTGACGTCGTATCATAATGTTTCAAAATTATACACCGGACAATAAATAACTACTCAATGCAGACAGGGAGTTTTAATTGCCCAAAAACTGAGTATCAAAATGCATTTGTATCTCTTTAGTATCTTGCATGACTCGTTCATATGAATTCTTTATTTCTACCTCGTTCCCAATACATTCTGAGACAGTTCAACCTTTGCCCCACGTCCTGTTCGTCGTTAGTACGTTGTCACTCGATATAATTGCCACGCGGTCCTAACTTCGACGGTTAATTTGAATTTTTCACCTACCGGATATTTGAAAATCAAGGATTACGAGTCTCATACTGCACCATTTTTCTTCAAACTTGTTCCATTCAAGCATAACAAAAATCTCTTTTTGATGGAAGGCCTTCTAACAGCTGGGGAGTGGGGACCAAAACGCTGCTAGAACGAGAGACTCTTTACAATAAAGTAATGCACTGACAGAAGTGCAATTTTGTTTTGCTTTTAATGGTATAATGGAAGAAAAACGGTGCAGTATCAGACTCGCAATCCTTGATTTTCAAGCATCTGGTAGGTCAAAAATTCAAATTAACGGTCGAAGACAGCGTGATTGCAGAAAGTGATGACCACGTGGAAATTTTGGAACTACCCTTTCGAGTAGGCAAGTAGACCCCAAACGGTTCTAAGTACTTCCAATCCGTCCATACAGTTTAAGCCCATTCTCGAGAGCGTAGTGAGAACTAGTTTGGTGTGATAATAGGGTCAGATACTGAAAGTGTAAGCATGGACGACCTCCCACCGTCCAATGAATACAGTGGGTTCAGAATCAGAACGCGTTTCAGACGGCGTTCCGAAACAGCTCACTATAGCTTATTCCTTAAATTTTGGCCTGAATGCTTTGTACGTTGAGAGACGGGACGGGACACGACCAGTGTGACAGCGCCATTAGCATTAGGCGCACGATGGGCACATTTTAACTTGGTATGAGTAGGGGGTAATTTATGAGGATCTATAGGACTCAGTCGGATTCAAAATGCTATTTTTTATTTTATCATTGGTTGCATTTTCTGTTCCTGAAGAATAACGTGGATTGCATATGTGTCCCATCCCCGATTTGTGGGAATTACACCCCAGTCACATTTCCAACGGCCACCGTGCGGTCTATCATTTCTGTGGTCAATAGCTTTTCCACGCTCGCCGTAGAATTTCTGCGCTCTCATTCTTTTGCATTCACATTTCCCACGGCAGCCGCACGGTGAATTTTAAATTTCTGTTGATAAATAATACTTCTTTCATTTTATTTACATCAGGGCAATTTATAAATGTTATTCATAGTGCTAGGATGTAATATCAAATGAAAAGTGATCGTGAAACATTGACAAATAATGATTCAATCTTGTTGAGCCAGTTGATTTCTACGGGACCTCAGAAATGAACAAATATTATAACTCCGAGTTATAATTTCTATACGGCGACCCTGCGGCGTGTAAAAAACTGGATACGCCGTACGGAGGCCCCAAGGCAAGCGTAGTTTTCCTACGCACAGGCACTGTAGCCCCTTTAAACATTATCCTCCGTCAATAGAAGATACACTCACCTCCATAAGTTGAATTTTTATTTACTTAACCGGCGATGAAATAACTTATAATATTGATGGAAACGTAACTTGACTTTATTTCCAATACCTTAGAATTTTATCAATTTTTTTCCTAAATTACAATAGGTCGAAAATTGATGATAAATTTGATGACTTTTTGAAAATCGTCAATCCCATGTCATCCAATGGGAAATGGTAGATTTGCCGCAAGTCATATGACAGAATATCCATCCATCCGAGTCCTTGAAAATACGAGTAAGGCAGGCAATTGAATTTGCTAACTTTATTTAACAAAGAATTGATATGTTTCTTCAGGTTCAACAAAGTTACAGGGCTTTAAAGTCAAAATTGGTTTTCAAGAAAACTCTCCCATTGAAATAACACAGGAGGCGAGAAATTATTTTCAAAAATGACTTTGAAGCGCTATAAATTTAGTATTCATCAAATAAACTAAACACTTAGTGAACAAAAAAGTTAGACAATTCAATTTTTTATACCAAAATTTTTTTGCTGAATCTTTTACTGAAAAGATTCTGATTTGCCCCGAACTCTCTATTTCCCCTTGGATTATACGGGAATGACGATTTTAAAAAATTCATCAAATTTATCCTCAATTTTCGATCTCTTGTTATGGAGGAAAAAAATCTAGAAAATTTGGAGGTATTGGAAATAAAGTAAGGTTACGTTTCCATCAATATTATACGCTATTTCATCGTAAATAAAAATTCAAACGTAAAGAGGCTTTAACACGTAGTTCAATGGGGGAGCTAAGGTTATGGAGGGGAGTGTATAAATACAACTACCGGCTTTTCACGCAAATGAGCCTACTGGGCGTTTATTTTGCATAGGGCGTTTATTTGAAAGAACATTTAATTAACGCTCGTGGTACTTTATTAATAGGGAAAAATATTTTTCCGTTTGGATGGGCGATAAGCTATTTGATTCCTTTTTTCGAATGTTTCGCCAATTGTCAATTAAGTTTACCTCTTATTAAGAAATCTAGTAAAGTTGACGTGTACATCTTTTGAAACCAAAAATTATTCTTCATTTAGTTACTCTGTTCGAGAAATAGAGATTAAATTCAAAAAGATGAGTGAGTAAATGGCGAAAATGAAACTTCTTGCGAATGGGAGAACATCCAATTTGATACGAGGACAGCCTGTCTTCCTTTCCAGTTAATCCTAAGTGATTACGTTTAGCATGTTTTGTTCTTTTACATTTTACGATTTGATAAGAGACAGAGACTAAGAAATTAAATGCGACGAAACATTTTGACAACGTAATATGTGTACTGTTTATTCTTAAAGTTTAATGCGTTAACTTATTTTATCGGTTTCAAAATGTTTCATTTTATTTTGCCTATATAAAATATATTGAATACGATAAGATCAACTGTTCCGTAATATATATTGTGTTTTGATGACCTTTTTTAGAATCACAATGTAAAATAAATCCCCCGTTCCTGTCATTCTGGTAACGCCGTGTAATGGATGCAATTCAAAGTGAGAGAGAGATCTATACAGAATGCGTCCATGCCATTAATTTTGCCAAATACATGACATGAAACTGGCTTGAGGTGCGTCCCCTTTATCTGGTAAATTATGACTAAATTTTTCGGACAACTGGGTTTCGGAGAACTGGGTTTCGGAGAACTGGGTTTCGGACAACTGGGTTTCGGACAACTGGGTTTCGGACAACTGGGTTTCGGACAACTGGGTTTCGGACAACTGGGTTTCGGACAACTGGGTTTCGGACAACTGGGGTGCACCCAAACTTGACAAAAATAAGAAACTCAATATTTCATACTAACCGGGAAACAAAGATGGTGGCATGTGGGAGCATTAGGTGTTGCATTTTAAAGAATTATGGTGACTCATTTTTAGCAACAGCAGTTACCGTACTTTAAAATGGAAGAAAAAAATTAAATAATGCAAAAATGAATCCCGAATAATATAATAGTTCAGTAGATGTCTAACAATAAAAATATGTGTATGTCAATCTGAAAAAAAAAAATTCCACAAATAAGTCAAAATGTGGAAAGGTAGCAAGGCCTAATTAAAAAAAAAAAGTGAATTCAAACTTACTTTCAGAACAGCTTGTTGCAATTTGTCCATTGCTACAAAGACACATGTTTGGCCTCATGCATGTACCACTGCCACATGGCCTACTACATACAGCTGAAAGAAAACATTGAATTGTTATCATTTTATTTATGATGTTACACAATGTAATCATTATGAGGGGTTTGGGATACTAAGTTCATCAAAGACTTCTTTATCGTTTAGTCATATTCTTTTCAATTACCACTACAAGTATACATGATCATTGAGCATGAGCTTTAATATATGTATAATCTATTATATAAGATAAATAAGTGAGTAGGCTAAAAATTACCAAATCAAAGTGCACTTACAGGGTGGACAATAAAAATGGGACACTTTGTATCATTCTTCGAAGTATTTAAGACCACACAGATAAACCGTGTGTTATACACCAAAAAATGGGAAATTTATTTAGCCTTAATAAGATATAATAACATGTGACTCAATGTTGTAGGAATTGTAACAGTTTTTGATATTACTTTCCAAAAATGAAGAAATTCATAAAAATAATGTCTAGCATGTTTGCCTCTATCTGTGATAATAGCCCTGTATCTCAGAAAAGTCATAACTGTACATTATGTATACCTTCCTGAAAGTTTTGCTACAATTCATGAGTCATTGGTTTCGATATTCAATGTGTAATCAGCCTATCATGGTAATGAAGTTCAATTTTTTGCATAGTAACAATGATTTTCAGGGGGTTTCGGAACAATTCATACAAGATGCCTATTAACTGTTAGTATCTGTAATAAAAAGAGATTGTCATTGCTACAAATAACAATGATATTTTGGTGAGATGTGAGCAAAATGATGGGCAAATAAGGAGAAATAACGAATTATACCTTTAATCATAGAAATTATGGAAAACTCTGCAATTTCAAAAGCTTTTTTTGTGGTAATGCGTTACCTTTTTTGCATTAATTAAAAAAATCAATCAAAACTTCTATTCTTTGACTTGAAATTTTACATATGTCAACAGATATGTTCAAACTTTATATTCTTTAATTTTCATGACATTTGGTTCATATCTGCTCTTTTCAATAGAATTTATGTTAGTGTCCCATTTTTATTTGCCCACCCTGTACACATGATAATATTTATGACAATATTATATAATTTTACTACAATGAGTCTGTTGGCTACAGTTATGCAATTAAAAGCAACTTAATAATTTTGATCTTAACTAACCCAAAGAATAAATATTAAAGTTCGAAAAATCTTCATGTAACAATTAATTTAGGTTTTGTTGCCCATTGCTAAGTGAAAAATATGAGAGCATATTTTTCAATTTTTAAACTTGGCATGCTGCTTACAAGTTGATTTTTCAAACTTTTATATTTTATGAAAGAAGTTGAATATCAAAGATTTGATGGTGCAAGTTACAGACCAGGCTGCAAGATTAGGATCAGAATTAATTACAAATACTTTTGATTCAGAATTCTTATAGTTTACTTTTAATTTGGAAATAGGGTTTAAAGAGAGAAAAGGTCTTAGAAATTAAAATAGAAGCTACAAGAATAACACAGTATGGTATGTGAGGGTTCCTACATTTATAAGATAAGAATGTGCCTACAAGAGAGGTTATTTGAGATAAATGGAAGAGCTAAAAAAGAATAAAGATTTTTTATAAAAAATTAAATGTTATGATAAATGTAAAATAAATGATGTTATATGGTATCAACATAAGTTTCAACTGAATAAGAAATCATGCTATTGTCACAATCATTCCACAGCACAATGATATCATTCCACATCACAATGATATCATTCCACATCACAATGACACCAATTATCTGTAAAGAGCAAGATGAACGCAAAGCACAAGATCGCGCAAGCATTTTGAGGCGCTATCACATATGCTGCTTAATATATTGCAGGCAAAGCCCATTCATGACTTACATGGAACAGAAGGTCATTGTCAATAAAAAAAAAATAGAACAATATCAATATTTCTCATCTTGTATTTTGTGTATTTTATCTTAACTGGTTCTTTAGATATCACTGGCCTATTGCTGCTTTGTGGATACATTCCACAAAGAGGATTTTACTATTTTTGTAGCATTGTTTCTGATACTCCACTTCTGGTGTTTGATAGGTTTTCAATCATGACTCTGTCCTAATGTCATGTATTTACCAAAACAACCAGGTCTGCTAGTCTTTGAACAATAACTAAGACTATGAGCTCCGTGGAGCTATTATGTCCAGCAGATATATTACCAATCTGATTCCTGGCTCAGTGCTGTTGACATTGAATCAACCAGACAATACATGACCTTCATAGTGCTATGCAGTTAGTGTAATGTACATAGTTAGAATCTTGTGCTTGGTTCTCAATTTACACACTCACAGTGACACTAGTAAATTCTGCAAACTCTGTTATTTCAAGAGTTAAGGGTGTTGACGGTTGATCTACAATGACAGGTCAACGTGACAAAACAAAACTAGTTCAGACATTAAACTAAATGCTTTTGCTAGTTCAATCAGCCAATACGTTTCTTTGTCTGTCTGCGTTAGCGATTAACAGACATGGTTCTAAGCATTGAATGACATTAGATTGTCAGGTTTGAGTATCAGGTCATGACGCGGCAGAGCGCTTGAAAGCTGTCGCACATTCAATACATATTACTTATACATAGATTGAATTAAAACATATAACACAAACAGAACCAACACAATAAGACATCACATTGAGATGGTAATAGAAACAAGCTGTGAAAAGAAGAAGGCTAGTATTGTAGAAGAGAAATCTGGGTTATTGTGTTATTGTCACTCCTTTTCCAGGGGTACTTACGAATCACACATTTTGTCCCACCAGGGGCACGGGTCCAGCCCGGACAGCAATATTTATTGGCACCAGAGCCGCAGGTATTTACTCTGAAATTATCAACATCAATTCCTTTAATTCTATTCCGTTATATGTTCATGAAATGAATCATCTTCACAAGGAATCTCTGAAAGAGCTAACCCAGGAAGGAAATCCGTGTTGATATATATGGATGAATGAATGCCAGCTCTGGTTTTCATTTTGGTAAAGCACTCGAAATGTACATGCAAACTGTCGTTGTTCCTTCAGTAAATCACCGAAATGAGTGATTGTAGATAACAATGCAAATGATGCATTCTCTAAAAAATAGATTTAAATAAATATTGCGTCAACAAACATCTACTGTACACCACAAACCACTTTAAATCTAAAATAGAAAATATGATATAATAAAAACATATCAAAACATATACCATTCATTCATACATATAATCAATTAAAAAACTGGGGTTTGCTCCTCATATCAAAGCTTATGGGGATGATTCACACCAGAGGTAATCAGCTACTTACGCTTACTACACCGTTTTCCCCTGGGCGGTGTAGTCCAACCAGGGCAACAACACTTCCCCCTTTGACAGACATTTGGCCTGAAAGTATTCCCATGATTAAATGCCATGGTCGTTACATAAATGCTTAAAGTACAAGTCTCAGGAGATATCTAATGTATAAAGTAAATAGGAAATGGGTTATTGTGTCACACCACCCATAATCCAAGCTTTCTATTTTTGATATACTTATGGACTTCGAGACTTGATTTTGTCTTTCCCACATCACTTGAAATTGAATGCCATATTTTGTATGAATACTAGTATCTAGAACTATTTATGTTATGAGTATTAGTTATCAATTCATATTTATTGTTCAACATATACTGTCATGGTTTCTATATGAATGAAATGTCCCTTAGTGTTTTGGTCCTGGAATGTGAGAATGGTGGGGGTATTAGACTTGTTTTCACATTGGGTTATGGTTTGGGATGGTAGGAGTTTGTTTTCGTTATGACTGATGTGCACTTAGATGTTTTCTTTTTCTTGCTGGGTTCTGTAACAATTTGTGATCCTTTCCTTTTGCATGTGTATCTTCATTGAACAGTTGCCCAAGGTGTCATCATATATACCTTTACAGAATATGTGATAATCCACTATTTCAAAATTTTAGTTAAATATACGATTTACTATTTTGATGAAAATATGTTCAATCTGTAATACCCAAAATAAATGCCACAATAAACAGGATCGGCTTACAGATGATACCATTTAATTAAATACACTTCTTGTACAAAAAATATTCTATAAAGTAGGGAGTAATCAAGTAAATTCATTCTGATACTCATAGTATCTTTCTGTTTCGCCCGAAACATGCTCTAACATTATGAGGCATATTCTGTGATCTGACATTATTTTGATAGGAAGAGTTACAAAAGCAATACGTGTGATGTAATTATTGCCCCGATGTCAATTCATTACATAATAGGCACTGTATTCTATAATCATTGACAACACAGGTACCAGTGATGTAACATCTACAAGTTTTGTGACCCCAATTTGAATATAAGCGGAGATGAAAGATCTCAAAAATCCCCAAATCTGGACTCTCTTGGATCACCAAATCCTAACCATTATATTCAGGCATTTCAAGTCTGGAAAGAAATCAGATGTCATGATTTATCATGCGATTAAGTTGAGCTAAAACACGTTTTCCCGAGTTTCCAATCCATTGTTAGGTTGACAATAATATTATTGTTGTTTTTGACTGATAATTATTGTCTAAATACTATCAAGTGGGGTATACTTTTTATGCAATTCAACATTGCATGTATTGTCACATTTTAAAACTCTGAACATAGTGAACCAATTTTTATCTTGCATTCATAAGTGTGCCCCAATGATACCATTCCTGGATTTTGTCATTTTTCCCAGACATAACTGTACAGTGTTATAATTAAATAAAGTAACACATTTTGCAGACGAGGTTAAGCTAACACCAGATATCAAATGTCACATTCAGAATTAATACAGTAGGAAATACAGTAGTTCAAACTGTATCTACTTTTTGGTTCATGTCAGCTCTTTTATGCAGAGGCAAGATCAAGAACTCATTATCAGTCAAGTATTTCCTTAATTTATCATTCTTTGAAATAAAGTATAAACATTGCGCATTAGTGTCATTTTCAAGTGGCTGATTTGTGCAAACGTGATACGAGTTCAGGACTACTGACTCGGGTAATCTTATAGACCGCTTATAGGTTAATACTCAAGGCCAACAGACATCAGTATCTGATGAAGGAGTCCTCGTATCTTTCATCAGCATAATTGCTTTGTTTGAGTAATGGATTCTTAACGAAATTTGAGTCAAGAACTTTGATAATTCTATGACGTTGTTTAGGCTTTGAACTCTCTCACTGTGTTATTGTATTTTCTCGGTTGAATGTAATCCCTTGGCGTCCTTCTCAGTCAAGTCATTTGTTTTATTGAAAATACTATTTTCAAAAAATGTAAATGGGTAGAACAGGAACGCATTCAAAATACAGTTGTTAGATATGGTCAACCATACGTATACAAGCCCAAATATCCCAAACAATGACTCATAAAGGCAGGTGAGATTATGAGGATCTTTATCAAGTTTAAATAAATTGTTTATTTATTTTCTCCGTCGGCATTTTTTGGGGTGAAATGTGTATTTTTCTCAATGTACTCACACTTTACAAGTGGTAGAGAGACATTCTTATTCATTTTTGTACCACGGGAATTTAACCTATATGCTCTATTAAACATGGAGTGAAAGAAAATCGAATCAAATGCGAACGTTCGTCCTACCATTTTTGACAACGGATTCTGACGTTGCCGTCTTCAGGATGTTCTGGTGTGCTTGTATACTCAAACCAGTTCCTACACGTTAATAATCCTGAATTATAATATATAAGGTCTGATGCATACTCATCTTATCTATTCATTATGTGAAAATTACTCTGCTAATTACTTGGCTAAATATCAAACAAGGTTAACTTTCGTATCTATAAACAAATCACACCCATGATATAGCTAGTACAATGAGGTCGTTGCACTTGTAATACAATAGGAACAAATTCGGTCAGTTTTTTTTAAAATAATCTTGAAGATCTCTAGGATCTCATGGGAAACAAGCATAGTACAATTGATTCTTCTCTTGGTTATTCAATTGATTCATTTAAAACTAAAAAAAAATGAGACGTTCAAACAAATAATTTGGTTCATAAGACTTTAGTTGGATCACATCTTTGTCTTTTCTGGCGTACATTTAGAATTAAGATACTGAGCTATGTGAAGGGAATTCGGCATAAGTCCTAATGTCTGTCAACACTTCCCGTCAACACTTTATATGTAGGTGATACACCCAAGTATGAATTTCTCTCGGTTCATGTCCAATTTTATCCTAACCTGATGTGATTAGGAGTAAGTGTCAGCAAATAAATCTCCGTGTAAAACTAATCACCATGCAATTTTTGATGTTAGAATACTGTATTCTCTCGTTTAATTTGTTCTTCAAAATATATTGTAATCATTTCACAATGATCATATTTCGTATCGGGGCTGTAACCGTGGATGTTCCTTTCTAACTGTTTTTGCGCTGACATATGTTTCTTTCAAGAATTATATTTTGGGATCTATGTATAGCTAATAGCAAATATAATGGAGGTCAAATCGTTAAAAAGCATATTTAATGGTTCCAAAATATGGCAAATGGGTTCCATTCCAGCCATACAGTGCAAACCATGCAATGATTGAAGGGAAGACTGCATATTCAACAATTTATTGGAAAGTTTTGTAAAATATTCCTACGTATACAAGTCCAGTGATTAGATACTAAAAGGGATACTTATGAAAAACAGTTTTGTACCAAACTATTGACCCCGATCGCTAACATTGTGATAGTCATCACATCTTTTTTCCTTCAATTCGAAAGCAGCTAATAGAAGGCCATGATTTCTCTAATGATGGGTCGCTGAACTATATATGCATTTTCTCATACCCCAATTATATGTGCCCAACAATTAACAGTATTGATTAATGATACAATAACCCAGATGCGAGTAGAAATAATCTTGATTTACGTCATTAAAAATTCAAAATTCAGTCAAAGTAATATCATATTTGAAATCTACATGTAAAATTATATTTAAAAATGTGGTTTTAAAAAGTGTTTATCAACTTTGAAAAATTAATTTTCTTTGAAAATGTGATTTCTAGCTCGGGGAGATTCTCCATAGACCCCATGCTATAAAACCACAAAAAATGAAATATCTTTTCTTTTAGTGGACAGATAATATTTTGCTTTACTGGACGTATTTTCATTAGTATAAGTATCAGACACATAAGGGTCATATGAAAATTGAGCCACTTAAATTGATAATATTCAAGTTTAAGGGAACTTTCTTATATACCTGCCATGTTAATTGACCCGTATCAGCCACCTGGTGGTGAAACTGGTAACTACTTACTCGCATTTGGGTCATTGTGGTTTTCTTGCTCCTCAACTTCTACTCCTTGTGCATTCAACTCTACCAATAGATTATCTAATACTAACTGTGTTATTTGTTAAAACACGAATATGCTGCCAAGTGCGGTGCCATTGAAAAATGAGAGATTAATCTAGATTTCAGCTTTTGCTATTGTTGGCCTTACAGTTTATCTATAACCCAAAGATAATAATTACTAAGGTGGCCCTGTTTTAGAATGAGATTTACAATTTCATTATAGGAAATAGGACAAAATAAAATTATATAAACAACCACAGTGCATATATTCTTATCTTTGTATACATTCAGAAAATAACTTTCGATAGTTTTGCAAGAGGTTTTGGAATAGTGTCAAGACGATGGCTACATTCTAAACACGGTAAGCCCAGTTTCAATCGTAAAATATGATTTGTAAATATTATTTGGAGGGCTTTCCAATGCACTGGCAATTCTGTGGAAGCATTCATATACCCGGACAATCATGGGCCAGTCTGGCTGCATTATATTATATGTAAACATTAGTTTAATAGATTTTCGAAATTCATAACTTTAAATAATAACAAATTGCGGATATATTTGGTACACAGTCGTATCAACACATGTGCATGTATAGAATAGTCTATATAATGTTAGCTTACAGTTAAACGTAATGTTAGTCTACTACATGGCATAATTAATTTCGAAATTTATCCGAAACACATTTTGACATTATAAAATCAGGTAATTGCAGTTATCGTTACAATTGTAGTACAATGATCTTCCACGTCCCGGTACTATTGATCCCCCCCCCCCCCCCCCTTGAATCGATCCCGGAGATTTTGTTAATTTTGCTGGGGGAAGGAAACTCGGAGGAGAGAACTTAGAGCTCGGACGATCTATGATCTCTTAGTTGAGCTCGGACGATCTATGATGCAACCTATGATGATGTAGACGCACCCCATTGAAAAAATCCCGGGGACGTCCCTCTGTTTGGTTCAGACTGAGCTCAAATAAGCGCAAATAATCTAATACTCAAACCGATGTTCATCAGTCTCCTTTATCAGTATATCTGTTTTTGGGAAAGAAGATTCCGGAGACGTTTTCAATAGCATGATCTATATCGTCTCGTCTGGTTACAAAATAGAGTAGCAGAATCAATTCAGATGTAGCTTTGTCAAACTGTCGATTAAACAATTTGTAAATCACTGTAATTCTCAAAAGGCTGAGAAAGTGACCAAAAAGAAATGTTGATTATGTACAAAAAACATATTGATCGCAACCACAGACTAAAATAATTCTAAAAACATTGCTCAGATAAAAGATAAGGTTGCAAAGCCAATTCGAATTCACACATTTTCACTTTTTAGAACTGATAAGATAAATCAGCCAACAAAATTCTAGACATAATTGCTTGTAATCCTTTCACTTATCAACATTGTCTGCTTCCACTCTTCCAAATAAGTTAAGGCGGGACCTTCTCAAAATAAGAAGTTAGAGAGGTTTCTTTGGTAATGCAATGAATCGAATGCTTGATATCAGTCTATACGTCCCCCTTCCCTTTCCCTTTCAGCGGTGGCAACAACAATCCCGATAAGAACCAAGTCCACGGAAATTTATACATTTGAAATGTTAGAGACATCTGTTCCATTTTACCCCTGTTGTACAATTTGCGAACACTGTGTTATTTTTAGAAGTTACAATATGTGTATATGTTTTTTATTCCTCTGCATAAACCATCTAAAAGTCATTGATACTCAAGGTGCGAGGTGGAGCAATTGTTTGAAGTAAAATATTGCTTTGGGGATGTTGATCTCTACGTTTTACAACTTTTCTTTACGGTCATGTATGCGGGTAAGAACCGACTTACTTGCGGCACATTAAACTGGGGGCCAAATTTGGCACCGTGTCGTGTTTTCTTAGCAGCTCTTAGTAATGATGCTGATGTACAGTAATGAGGCTGCTTCAGCAAAAGGCGTGTGTTGTAATCGTGTGCGAGACTTACGTAAAAAGTATGACCTAGTGCCGGGTGCCCTATGTTTGCAATGGTAAGGTATATCACGAGTTGTGTTGCAAATATATATGTTTGTTGTGATTCTTTGACTGGTAGGGGAGGGTTTTACAAGGGCACACCTTTTGATCTATTATTTATGGTTCTTCACTTACCCTGAGAGAGGTCCTCCACCGGATCTGGAACCACTAGTTTTTCCCGACCCGGTACCAGGCTGCTGCTGCTGAGGCCTCCTACGCCTTGAAAAATCACCCCTCCCATTTAGTGCATTTTGTCGCGCACCATTGAGTCCAATAAATCTCCTTCTGGGTGTTCCGGGTTGTCTCTGCACCCCTCTTTGCACACCTTGGGGTACCTCTTGAGCAATGACTGCTGCGATGCAAACTGCAACTAAGAGAAGTCTCACTTCGCTTACGTGCAGCGCCTTCATTGTGTTCGAAGAATTACGATAATCCTTTGTATTATCTAAATCATCAGTAGTGGTATGGTCCTCCCCAGGCTGGTGATTGTGCAATGTTATAGACTCGACTGGCTAGACCTTACTTCTTCAATGTACTTTATAAATGTAAATTTCTGCAGCTCCTGTCTATGTCCTATCTAAGCACAACTTTCTGACTGACTGATCCTACTGATCCTCCATTCGTTGATACCGAAATCGACCTTGGATTGTACAGTGCTATTTAACGTAGTGATACATCCAAATTCAAAGTAATAAGTCACAAATGATGAAAAGTTAACCCTCTTTTCTCTTTTAACACTGTTAAGCAGTGAACAGAGCAAGTGGATCGAATTTGCTTTCCAAAGTTAGTTGTGAACTGCACAGCTTCCCAACCATTCATGTGGCAGCACCAAGAATGGATTAACAACACGATCTCTTACTTGCATTTTATGCAAATTATTTCCAGATACAAGACCCCCAGCATTCAATTTCACTTTCCCAAATCCTCACCAATCATAAAGCTCGGAAAATGCAATTGACGGTGGGAAGGAAGTACCTCTTGTGGCTTTGTGGCACGGCCTTTGCAAATGGATATAGAAGAGCGGGAGTTTCCTTACGTAACAGCCTTATTAGCTTTACAATACATAAGGGTGCATGGAGATTATCCCTAAATGTGGCTCTAATCTGCTTCACACACTGACATTTTTACAAAGCTATATTTAGAGTAAATATTTATCCACAGAATGAGAGATTTACTAGATCAAGACCAAGTAGAGAGCAGTCACAATCCTTTTTTAAGAATTATACACACAGGTCAAAAATTATATGATGAATTACGTTTTGTTTAAATGGTAAAACATCACCTTTGAAAATTGACTCCCTTTATTAGCCCACCTTTGGGGAAGCCTGTGTCCCTCGCATACTGAGTGTTGTGATTTGGGGGGGGTGACTTCGTTAAAATCACTTCATATGTGCATGGACCTCTATCCTCTGATATGCTGAAACGTGTGAATTTCTATTTTTCAAAAAGTTAAATCGGATCAAAAAAATGTCTAGAGTATTATACGCGTATATTACTTGGAAGGCATTCCAGTTATTTGCTTAAGGTTTTGAAAAAAATTTAACACTGTGGGGTGCTTGAAATCTAATATTATGCCAAAACTAATCTGTTAATGACCAACTTGTGTTCCAAATCGTTATAGACTACGATGTCTCGCTTTCTTGACATTCACATTTGGTATTGCCAGTCTGGTGTTCAAAATATAGGGTCATGGTGAAGGATTATAGGTGTTCACAACTATAAATAATAAAATGCAGTTCGTCCTGAATGGCCTGAATATAGAGTATGCTCCATTTCCGAGAGAGCCCCTCCCCAGCCATGTTACCCCACCTCCACAATGTTAATGGAGAAGTAAATGAAAGGGGGGTCCAGAGGCTAATTGATCATGGTGTAAAACTAGTAGCTAGACCATGGTGAATGTTGTAATATAAGATTGAAATTACAAAGTTAACCCCATGGTGATAAAATGGTTTATTAAATGAGAACATCGGGAACACCGTATTTCGTAAAGCTAACACAACTAGCTTTCCAAAGGTGTACTGGCAAATTACCTCATCTTTTTTATCCTAACTAGCATCGTTGAAGCGTTAGTTATTGAAGCTCATGGGGCTAAGGTAAAACCAACTGAATAGTTTTGAGTGATCAAGTTCTGATTTTCTTCTGGAAATTTGTTTCATTTAATAAAAACTGTATTCAATTTTAAGTCCCGTCGTCACCCAGTCTTGAAAATGACTATTTAGTACAATTGGTATGACGTGCCTGGCTTATTAGTAAGCAATATTCAATAAGAAATTCATCTCTTAGTCGTTTTTGCAATGATGAATGTTTACCAAACTCCATTCACTTGTTTTTTTCAAATGCCAAAAAATGAAAAATGGACACTTATAGAACAAGTTTTACACATCACATATAATCTATAGGCTAATCTCTGATTAAAAAATGACCAAAATGCATTTTATAGTCACATTGCGATTCGTCTCGCCTTTAAGAAAAAAAACATCTTAAAAATGTAGAAAATGTATGCGAAAAAGCCATTAAGTCCAATAAAAATTACACACATTGGTAGCAAGGACCGCTTTAGATTTATGAGGGTACAAGTTCTGGCGTTGATATCCCTTTTATTTCTTTTTTAATTGGTATTTTCTATATACACGTGTGGATTTTGCTGACATGGCTCCAGTTTATACAATTTTCGAACCTAACTTGTCAGCCTGACTTTAAATAATCATCCAAGTTCAGCCGTTATTTGAAAAAATAAAGACTTTTATGATCCAAGCAGGAACTCTGTTTATTATAATATACGTAGTGACGCAGTGTAGTAGAAAATCAAACGACTGGAGGTCGAAACGAAAGTTTCCAATTTAAAACTATATGATGTTGTCTTTATAACAGGTTTTGCGGAATTACCTAAATATGATATAAATTAAACTTGAAATGATAAGATGCAGAGAGGCCACGAAGGTCATGTAACCATGAAAGCCATTGTATCAAAACCATTTTGTAAGCTATATATTTAGGCAGGTACTACAGTGAGTCAAAATATGCAATATCAAGATCAAAGATCTTTTTTCAGTGTTTAAAGAGTGGAAGAGACGAAGCACTCTTGCAAAGAATACGGTGATATTTGAAGGACAGCATAACAGCTGAATCATATAAACCTTTCTTTGCATCAGGCCGTTTGTCCAATCGGGACTTTCGGTTGCCAACTTTATAAAGAGGGGGGGGGGTGTACATCTATGTTCTTGAATGTGTTACTATGCCTTACACTTCAGACGACAATGGTTTGATTTAAAACTGAACTAGAATCGAACTTGAACGATTTGAACAATTGCAATGTCAATGAAAGGTTAAGAGAAAGGATAAGTCAACCATTCTAATTCTTAAAAATAACAGTGTATTGTGCGAAAACCAAGTATATTTGGCCGATTACGATGATCTTGGCTAGTTTTGCATTGCAGTATCCGGCTTGTGAAATTTAACAATATAATATAATCAATGCCTATTCTGGGTCAGAACAAATGGTCTTCTTACGATAACCTTGCGATAACTGATATATCAGATTTCTGGTGTTCTGTTAAACACTGCGAAGTTTGTGGTGTTACCGGGGGTGTTACCAGCATCATTAACTGTGTAACCCCAATAACAATACAACAATCAACCATTATCATAAGGTTTATTTTTAAAATGAAATTTTAAGATGAAATTATAGACAAACGACAAAATTTTGATTTTGGGGGCAAACATAAATTTCGACTTCTCAACTAATCACTGATCAATTACGTTGATATTTTTCAAAGTATGAATACAATTGTGTTTGTGACCTGTTAACCGTAGGGCGATGTTGAATAGTTTTTATTTATCTTAGAAAACATGATTTACTACGTATACACGATTTGTCAGAAAATTTAACCTCCAAAACACTGGTCGAATCAGCTTACATTGCTAATACATTGCAAAAAACTGCCGCAAAAGTCCCCTAAGTAGTATCTTTAATTCAAATAGCAGTCATTATTGAAGAGAAGATTATTTGCATTAGTATTTCTGTTAATTGTTCAAAGTTACCATCATTCTGCTGCCCAATAAATGGAATCCTCTGAATTCAAATTGGAGTCTAGAAAAGGACATGAAAAGTATAATGATGCCGTTCACGAAACACATATCATAATTATTGAAAGTTGAGTATGTAACTGTTTATTTAATTTACAAGGAAGGGACGAGTAAAAATACTAAACACCAAGTTTAAATAACAAAAATCTAGTATGCATTTCTTGAGTGAAACTTACATGCAAAACATAATCTCTCGATACACTTGAATAAAGTGATATACAACTGTCTGGGTAGTTGTCATTTGAGCATATCTAATATACTAGTCTATATAAAGTAGTTATTCACCAGGAGGGATTTGATGTGGGAATATCACAAGGATGGATTCAATATTTCCCAAGGGAACGCAGTCACCGAGGGAAATATCGATATCATCCTAAGGATCTGGGAGTGCTATATACTCAACAATGAATGGAATGGGAATTTATGTCCGAGATTATGTCGGAATTAGCTTGATTATATGGATATCAAACCCGATATCATCCCACTAATTCCAATATCATCCAATATCATCCCGATATCAGACTCGATCCCAAGTACATGATTTATCACTTGCCTAATATTGATCTGGCCATGGTATAAACAGAGGTTATTAAATGGGAGGAATGGAATATGAATTTTATTCCTAGGAAAATATGATATTGGCCAAGGAACATATCATATTACCGAGGGCGATAGCGTCAATATCATATTTTCCAAGGAATATCTTGTTTTATTCCATGATACTACTATTTTCCCTCGAAAATAAAATCGTATTATCCCTCTTAAAATCATATATACTCTTAAAATCGTGTTGTCCAGGGGAAAAATCGTATAAACTTGAAAAATCGTATTGTCCCGGGGAAAATCGTATTGGGATCGTATTCACTCAAAAATTGATTTGGTGAAAAAATTATCTCTTATTCAAACTTAAGATTGAATTAATTTCCGCGAAAATAATTAAATTGGCTAGCACAATCGCAAAATTTACACTGAAAGAGGGGGATTTCGGACTTTTTCTATAGTAAGTAGATGGGTGGATATGTGGTGAAACTCAATATGCAAAAAAAGTCCAGAGGGGTCTTGATTGTGTTATCCTATGGCATAGAGCCTCTTTAAAATGCTTTTTATTTGAAGCTTTTAACTCAATTTTAAAGAGCTTGAAGGGAGTTGCATCAATTTTTGTAAAATTCAAAATGTTTTTTTGCCTTGCTTATGCCACGATCACCCCCCCCCCCTTGACTGAAGAGTGAATTTTTTGGCGATCGCACCCCTCCCCCCTTACTGAAAGCTTGCTATGCCCCTACCCTGGAATGAAATTTATATTGAAAATCAAGCATGAAATAACCTATATTTCTCAAGGAAAAAATTCATATTCAATCACGACCATCAATAACCTATTTATTCCATAATAAAGGGCCTCGACTTAGATAAAAATGTTACAATGATAAAAATGTCATTATGTTTTATACTTTTAGTTTTTACCCTCCTCAAAGGTGAAAGGCTGTAACAAAACTTGATCATAGCATTGAATAACCCAGTCGAGTGGCCCCCAAGATGACTCTTGTTGGGCTACCTAAACACCAAGGTCTTCACAACATCCCCAAGTGATCTGAATGAACCTTATTAAAGAATAATGGATGAACTCAGTGTGGTACAACACGAAAAAAAGCTCATCACACGTGCTTGTAGGGACACGTTGGGGTAGACGCAAGTTTGCGTGGAGGCACAGCGGCCATTTTACGAAAGATAGATAGGAAAATTGCAGAATGAATCGATACAATGTCAATCTTTAACTGTGAATAAAATTAAACGTTATAAAGGAACGCTTCCTCTTTGTCATTTGTTCTTTTTAACCACAGA